ATTTGACATCTCAGGTCTAAAAATAAGGGTGGAAAAGTGAAGCAACATTGTAATTTAGAGATCTACCTGTCATACGCATATTTTTTGTCAAAAATGCTAAACACATGTTTGTAATGCTTTATTGCATAATAATTAACAAAATAATGAGAAAGCTACTAAGCAACCATATTAACAATGATGTAATATATTCAGTTATTTTAAAAATGTGGATTATTAAATTGAATCCTTCAAAACATGCAGTGTTTTTTTTTTTTTTTTGATGGGAAAAAACTAAAGGATTAAAGAGTAAAGCGTATATGGGTTCCTTTTATTTCTCTGTTTTGGTTTTAATTTGTTTTGTTGGGGTTTTTTTTAAAACTTTTTTCTTTTTTGACTTTGGTTAATTAAATGATTATGTTTAATTGAGGAAAAAGAACGTATATGAATGAGCTTCACCCTATAGACAGAGTCACTTTGAGCTCTCTGATCACAGTATTTGCTGGATTTCCCGTCATGTTGTCTCCTGCCTGTGAGACTGTCGAGGCTGCACCACATGTGACCTCTCATGTGCTCACAACAGAGTTCAGGAAGAAATAAATCCTCCCACCAGAGCACCTGACTTAACATACCACAAATAGTCAACCCTTAGCTTCTTTCCACATCGGCATCCACTGTTTTTTTTTTTTTTTATTATCTTAATAAAGTTGTTCCCAGGTTTCAGGCAATTTCTGGATTTAACAGAGTTGAAAGAGTTGTAATGACAAGTCATTAGAAATCTGCTCACTTTCCAGGAATATTCCTGGATTTATTAGACTGCAGCTTAGTCAGGTCAAAATTAACATATCTCCCATTAGAAAGTTTATGAATTACAAGAACTGCCTGAGCTGATTGTGAAAAGCAATAAAAGGCAAAGAAATAAAAGGGGCGTTTAAGCTGACATTCCTCGCAAACTGTAAAAGCACATACAAACACAGACTCTGTTCTCAAAGCTGCAGTCACACACAAGCTTTCTCTTTTCAAGCAGGAGTAGAAAATGAGGATTGTAATTTAGAACTAAACAAGGGCCAAATCAGTGAGGCCATCTGGACTGTAAAAAGATCAGACCGGACGAGCAAATCAGCTCATGACGCCAGCAGCAGTCATTCAGTGTGTTCACAAGGATTAAAGAAACTGATGCTAATTTGTTATGTTTGTTCTTCATTTAGTTTCTTGTTTATCACAAACACTCAAAAGATTTGCAGACACCTAAAGGCCAGGGATAACAGCTTGCAGCATGTTCGCTTCTACAACAACACAAAAAAAAATTTCCTTCCTACATGACTATCAGCAGGAAAAAACTCTGTGTTGGAGTCTAGATGTAGTTCAGAAGAACCCTCCAATAGTCTCATCTTCTGTGTAAAGCAAGTCTGTGCCAGGGCGGATTTATAGCTGTAGGGTGAACAACTGAGGTTTTACGTACCTAAATCATATCACATCAACGTCAGTGTAATTATTTAGGATTTGGCAGATCTCCTGACAGGAAACCTGCTTCCTAATTAACTATGTCCACATGGATTATTGTTCAGTTTATGAATCCAACACTTTTGGGACAGGAGCCCCCTCTAGATATTGGTTGGATGGAGACATTCAAATTCTTTCTTTTGATAAAGAAACCATCACACATTGACATATAGCGATGGGAAAAACTTTAGACAGTACCTTTGCCTTTATATGTACAGTATAAAATCAGAACTAACTTCTTTGTGGCGCTCAGAGATGTCACCTCGCATAAATCTGCTGGGTGGAGACGGGTGGAGCCTCTGGGCTTTGATCATGTGCAGTATTGGTATGAATGCTTTCTATGTCTGGTCTCCACCAACAGAAGCTGTTTCTTCATGCAGCACAGGACACCAAACGACTTACAGACAATCCTGGCTCATATTTCAGATCAATGCAGACATTTTTCAAAGAAGACAATGGGCGGTTTTCCCACTGCAGGAACTCAGAGCAGGGCGTGAGGTGGTGCAAACGTTTACAGGAACTGCACTGTAATCGGCCCTTTTAGTTTTTCTGTTTCCATTGCGGTGTAGTATTCGACAGTTTCTACCATGACGTTAACTCAGAGTGCACCAGAATAATGACCAAAATAGTACTGGACATCAATACCGTTCTATCAGCATGTAGGGAAAAATAAAGATAGTTATGTTGCCCTTTATTGTTAATTATGGGTTGAAGATGGTGATGGTAGAGGAGGAGACTCAAGGACAAGGACATCAAGAGGGATAGATAAATCGCACTTTGATTTTAGCCAATCAGTGTTTAAACCTGCACGTCAGCTTTTTGAGGCTGTTCAGAAGTATGTACCCTGGAGTTAGTACTTTTATCTCCCTTGAAAACGACCTTCAAAGAGTTTCTACAGGTGCAGTTCGTCCTTTGCTTGTGGTCGGACCACATGCAAAGGCTCGGGCCGCCCTAAAACAGCCCACAAGTTCCTGCAGTGGAAAACAGCTTATTAATACTGGGTGGAGCAGAAAAACCAATGGTCTTATCAATAACACTAATGATGGCTGCGTTGTCTTTAATTATCCCATTGGGCCAGCATGCATTCTACCAGGACTTATTCAGGATGATTCATCTGTGTGCTTTGGTTAAGGATTGTGGAGAAATTTATGTAATGTCACCAAATAACATAATAGAATTTGTTCAAATGGCCTGTTTGTGTCTTCACTATTAACTTTGTCACAGCTGGGTGGGGAAAAAAAAAAAAGACATGGGTCACACATGTCCCACAATGTGTCTGGTTTGATATCCGCTGGGGGCTTTTGTTCCAAGTTGCACAAACCATAACGGGCTTTTGATTTAGATGCAGCGGCTCAGTTTCGCTCCAAAGAGGCCCAGTGAGTGTTTGATCCAGTCTTCCCTCTGAAGGGACACAAAGCCATGTAGGGGGGCCACACATGACCAGAGGAAACATGTGATACGAAAGTCATGACAGACGTTCTCACAGTTTTTGTTTTAATTTGTCAAACACAGCTGTAGGTATGTAATAACAGTGTTAATTGGTACACTGTGTTGTTGTGGGAAAACATTAATGTAATTATAATACATGTGTTTTTTCTTGTCAGAACGTTGGATTTGAAACATGTCAATTAAAATATTTTACATAGAGCTATTAGGGAACAGATAGGAGTTGGGCTTCCACAGAGGAGAGAATAGCAGAGACGATTGGCCTATACAGTAAGAGACAGTGAAGTTACACTTTTTGCCACTAGAGAGAGCTACTTATTCACCTTTACTCTCTACAGCACACAGAGAAAACATGAGCAGCCCATTTACTGCATGAATGTGACATTTACCAGCTTACCACACGACATCATTTTTTATGCAGAAATTGTAAATATATAATAAAACTGCCATTCTTTGTGCATTTTAGAGGTTTGATTAAGCTGGTTCAGGAAAACAAGTTTATAGATTTTAAAGTGTCTGCTGACAATGTGACTAAATGACGCCTGAAGATAAATGATCCCATTACTGTCATGGTATGTAAAACGTTGATTAATTCTTAATATTTCTTAACGTTGCTTGATTCTCCCTTAATGTTGAGGGTAAGGCCCTCTAAGACACTGTAAAACTACTGCATGCTACACAATGGCAAGTTGTAATAATAATTCAGCTACACATGTTGGAACTATTCTGTAGAAGAGTAGGGGTATGTAAAGCTTCCTCCTGCAAGCTGATAGGATTATTTTCTTAGGTTTGTTTGAAAATCTGAATCTGTGTTTTTGTGATGGTTATTTATATACGGCAGTTTCAAAGTGGAAGTTGTCAGCCATGGTGTTGACTGCTTGTTCTAAATCTGATGTGTCTTCCAGCATAAAAACACCATGTGGACATATTAATAAGTTTTGTTGTTGCTGTTGTTGTTGGGTTTTTTTTTTTTTTAGCTATATTAACTTTATAAGGAGGTCTTTAAAGTCTTTTCATGAAATGTGCCTGTCTCCAGCCAAAAACCACTTACATGCTTTACCTTGATTATCTTGTTCATATGGTCGTCGTCACATATGTTCGTATTTGAATTTTCTCTGATTCTTGTCGTCTTCTCCATACATGTATATGCACTACTGCAGGTATTCCTGACTCTGGAGCTGCACAGGTCTCATCTGAGGGAACTACTCCACCAACCTGTCTAGTCTTGAAGTTCTGTTATTTGTTGTCTGATTGTCTCTGCTACCCTTTCCTTCTCCCTACCTGAGCCTGGTTCTGCTGGAGGTCTCTTCCTGTAAATAAAGGTCATTCCTCTCCACTGTCACACGGTATGTGCAGCGTGCACATAGTGAATCTTTGGATTTACTAGATTTTAGATGAATAATTTTATTCGGTCTTAGTTTTTATTTTTAAATCCATCAGGTAATTTATTTGAATGTATGATGTTGCAGGTTCTTAGCCTTAACTTCTAAGTTAGTCAGGAAAAATGGTATTATATATAATATGGGATTTTAATCTTAATATTAAAATTAGTCATGTAACTGCATTTTAGATTAGCATCAACTTTATTATTACAATAAACTGTACAAATACTAAGACAGCAAAATGCGGTAGTATGTCATATTAAATATGCATTATAAATAACAGCGTTTTTACTTGATTTGATAATGCATTTTTATTTGTTTTGCATTAATTATTAAATACTAATATTAAAAAGATGAAACAACTATAAATCCTCTCCGACGTCGATTACAAAAAACGTCATCGTCGCTTAACCACGTGACCTGATGGGTTCGTTTGTTAACAGTCTCTTTCTTATCCCGACATAAAACGACGCCACCTATCAACATATCCCCATTTGCACAAAACCAAATAGCTCAAACTGAACTGAAAGCTGCTTTAGAACACATGATATTGACTCGACATCGCCAGAGTCGTACATAATCGTTTCCAAAGACAACGCTGCTGGAGGAGAAGTTACGGAAACTCTCAAGCACCACCCACCTTCACTAATCGGTGTGTCCTGAAGACCAAAACGAGCGCCACCAACATAACGCGGGAAACGCTGTTGTGTTGGTTCAGTGTTGTCCACCGAGGACCAGCCGCCGCGCTAATCCACATATTTACAGATACTGTTGCCGGGATCAGTAAATGTCTCCAGTTTGCTGCCGCTCAGCTCTGACCTGATAAAGTCCACCGGAGCTCCGTCCTCCAGCTGTGGCTGCTCGGCCCGCATGAAGTTACCCGGAGGAGCCGTCAGTTGTATGCCGGTCCCCGCGCTGCTCGTCAACGTCTCTGTAGCCACCGAGCAGTTGTTAGCTCCGACACAAAGAGAGGAGCCCCGCTAGCCGGCTCAACACCCAGCGCATCTGTCCCGAACAACATGGAGGCGTTTCAGAAGGTGGAGAAGATAGGAGAGGGGACGTACGGAGTGGTTTATAAAGCCAAGAACAAAGTGACCGGAGAAACTGTTGCTCTGAAAAAAATTCGTCTGGACGCGTAAGTTCACATCACACCGCTGGTTTCCGTCAGGGAGGGAGGCCGAGCTAAGGCTAACGATGCTAACAGCAACTTTCACTGAGCTGCAGGTTTCATCAAACTGAGACACACAGTAAGAGGCTCCGTAACGGAGAGACTCGTATTTATCACCCGGTAACTCCTTACAGACGCTGGGGGGAAAAAACAAAGACAATAATATAACAGTATCACATGTTTCTTATCAGTCAAGTAAAGTCACAGTGATTTATTTAACACAAACAACCAATTTAAGGTGCTTTCAGAGTAATTTAAATATAAGGCTAAAGACCCTACAATTTTCTATTTAATACAAACGATCGTGATTTATTTAAATATTTCGATTAGGAACCTGCCATATATTATGTACAATACAAATTAACCTGACCAATTAAAATATTAAGGATCTCATTTTTATATTCTATATAAATATTCTCTATATATTACAAGATAACCTGTCCAACGTATAATAAGGGGTTTTTTTTATCCCTCACTTGGAAAAATTCACAAATGTTAATGTTTAAACCCTACAATATTATACTTAATGGAAATTTGTCTAATAATATATATATCTTAAATACACCCCAACCATATTGTATATTCATCAAATTACGTGAAAAACTAAAGCTAAAACCCTTAAAAAATAACTAAACTTTTTTTTTTTTTTGGTGCAAATGTACATACAACAAATCCACTGACTCCCTTTGAGCAGCATATTGTTGATAGTGAAGAGAAGAACTGTCTCTAGTAGAACCAGACCCAGGGAAGGCAGATATCTGTTTATGGCGAGGGTAAAGAGTAGCAGAGACAACTAGATGTCAAACATGAGAATATAAAAAACACGGGACAGGTTGGTGCACCTGTGTAGCTCCAGAGCCAGAAATACCTGCAGACATATTCAGGGAGCGAGAGGACAAAACATACTCTACAAAGGAGAGAAAATGCAAAGTTAATAACATGCAGTAGTGTATGTAAATGCATGGAGAAAGTGACAAGAATCACAGAGAATTTGAGGATAGACATGTGAAGACAATGATATAAACATGATAGCCAAGGTAAAGCATATTGGCGAGAGTGAAAGAAAAATGTGTCTCTTTATGAGACCTGTATTATATCTTTATGTTTAGCTTTATTGTACTTTTATTACATCTTGTCCTGTTTCTTATATGCCTTATTTGTATCTAGCTGCTGTAACGTGAACATTTTCCCAGTAAGGGATCAATAAAGTTTTAAAAGAATAACCATAAAATCAGGCGTCCAATCACAACAGAACTGCATGATCATATAAAGATCTGAGAGTGGGCATGAGTTGACCAGGCTCAGGAAAACTAAAAGCAAAGGCGAGAAAAAAAGGCGAGACTAGCTTTTTTTTTTATTTTCTTTAATTGTCAACAATGAAGCAGAATTGAATGTAGAACAGGAGGCTGCATAAGGGCCTGGGTGTGGTCACCGAAAAAACAGGTCGCCTTTGGATTTTCCTCAGGCGTGCTGAGATGACTGAATGTGATGAGTATCTCAGTGACCTAGCGCCAGAAAACAGAGTTAACAAATTAGTAATGTATTGTGGAGCTAAACCATTTTGCTGTTGAAGTAATAGATGACCTTTCAAAGTAATGCATCAGTAAATCCATCTATTAAAAATACTCATATTTGACATGTAGTGTTATATAAAACATTTACAGCCTCTTTTTTATCTGCCTTAAAAACGCTATACATACAACAGGAAAAAAAACCTACAAAAAGTGGTAGATGTCCTAAACCCAAGATGAATCCAAGGAATGTTGGAAATCTGTTACACACACTATGTTTCTGACATTTTTCCCAAGTTTACTTTTTGTCTCATCTCTATGAATTGTTGGAATGAAACTATCAAAAATCACTTTTTGGTTGAAATGCTTCCACTTTACAATAAGACACAAAGACAGAGAGTCACTTCATGTGCATATCTAAATGCAGCTCTGATTGTTGGTTAAGTGCATTCTACAAAAATATTGAATACTTTATGGAGGCATGCTTAAGAAAGGTTTATATATTTGTAATAGTCAGTTGTGCCAGTGAACAGACATTACCTGGGCTTCAGCAGGTGGCATCAGTGAGTCACTCTGTCCAGTGTTTTCTGACCTTTGATGCAGACCGCAAGAAGCAAAATCACTGGTGTGCTTTACCAGTATCTTGGCTGTTTTGTTTGCCGTCATGGCAGTAATGTCGCAGTGAGATATTTTTAGGACGTAAGTGTAAGAGAGACTGGTTTTGTTTCTTCAACCAAGCTGGACAACTTTTCTTTGTCTAAATATGATNATAATTAAAAGATAATTAAGATAAAAAAGATTCTATGTATTTGTTACAGGGTCAACTATCTGTTGCGACCTTTTTTTTTTTTCAGTTTTTTTTTTTTTTTTTTTTTTTTTTTACTAAATAGTTCAAATGACATTTATTTAGTCTGGGATAAGTGAATGATTTTTTATTTTGCTGTGTGTTCCATTCAGGGAAACTGAAGGTGTACCAAGCACAGCCATTCGAGAGATTTCACTCCTCAAAGAACTCAGTCATCCAAATATTGTCAAGTAAGTGCCTGATGTTACAACAACATCTTAATCCTGCTCACAAAGTGCTCCTGTTACTTCTGCATGTCAGTTTTTGAACTAACTGACCTGTTACCTGGTTTCAGATTGCGAGACGTCATCCACACCGATAGCAAACTCTACATCGTTTTTGAGTTCCTTCATCAGGATCTAAAAAAGTTCATGGACTCCTCCTCAGTCACTGGTATCCCGCTGCCTCTGGTTAAGGTACTTATCACTTCAGATTTGTCTTGATATCTTTCAGAAGTTGAAAGTATGTAAACAGGATGCTTGAGTTGACTCACCTGAGTTCTTTGTGTTTGTAGAGTTACCTTTTCCAGTTGCTGCAAGGCCTGGCCTTCTGCCACTCTCACAGAGTTCTTCATCGAGACCTGAAGCCCCAGAACCTCCTCATTAACGCTCAGGGTGAAATAAAACTGGCTGACTTTGGCCTGGCAAGAGCCTTTGGAGTACCTGTCCGCACATATACACATGAGGTAAGACGTGCACCTGCCCTGCTCATCCATGTTCATCCCGAAAGTAAACGAGAGAGTTATATGATTTCAGCGAGCTCTGATCTTGCTTCCTCTGAGTGAATTGTGTCCTCTGGTGTAGTCTCAGTGATGCAAGTTAATGGTATTGGGAAAAAAAAAATCTTTTATCTCTTAGCTCAGTGCATGCTAAAGCTGTTTCAGAGGAGTATTTGCTTTTGCTATTATGAAATAACCCTCTTAGTAGTTTTTAGGCGTTTTTTTGCTCCCGTCACATTTCTACTCACCGTGGACTCATTTGTCACTAGAAGGCTAGGAGCAGAGAGAGCTCAACAATGTCTTTTCTACAGTATGACATGGTTATTATGGCATAAATCAGTAAAGTGAAAACAGTAAAAAAAAAAAAATTTAAAGTTTTAATTTGTTTCCGTACCTCTGCTCCAGCTCGATGTAAACATAGCCGGCAGTTCAGCCAAAAAGTCTCTACATTTTTGTCATGTGACTATTAGGCACATCTGAGTCGCTAATGGCTCATCTGTTCGTTTGTTTTTTTGTTTTTGTTTTTACAGAACCTGCATAGAACAACTAGTTTATTTTTTGCTCATTCATAAGTAAAACCTGTAAAATGCAGCGACTTTGATGAAATATCACAATTTTTAGGTGAGATTTGGTTGTTTTTATCGACAAAAGAAGAAGGTTGAACCCTAACCCTCTGACTGAGGAAAGAACGAGTAGCAGTTTTAATCTTTTCAATCTTGTGAGGATTCACATTTAGAAACAGCTAGATTTAGTGTTATTTTTCTGAAATGGATCAGAATATGCACCACATCGATCATCAATCTGACTTGCAGCCTAGAAATTAGGTTAAGGATTACATTCCATTGTTTTACTACCTCCCTAACATATTTCAAGATCAGATGTTTTCCCTGCTTTAAACCCTGTATTCTGCTTGATTTATTTCTTTGGAAAATCTGTATTTTGACAAAGTTGCTCCTGTGATATTTTATCAGGTGGTAACGCTTTGGTACAGAGCACCAGAAATTCTCCTGGGCTGCAAATACTACTCCACAGCTGTCGACGTCTGGAGTCTGGGCTGCATCTTTGCTGAAATGGTAATACACGCGGTTTTTATCTTCCACAAGAAACAAAGCAAAGGAAGCATATATACGATGCACAATGTAGCAACATCTAACCAACCTCTCTGTACTGTTCTGGCCACAGATTACCAGGAGGGCTTTATTCCCCGGTGACTCAGAGATAGACCAGTTATTCCGAATCTTTCGCACCCTGGGCACACCTGATGAGACCGTCTGGCCCGGAGTCACATCGATGCCTGACTACAAGCCATCCTTCCCCAAGTGGGCTCGGCAGGATTTAGCCAAAGTGGTGCCTCTTCTTGATGAGGATGGAAGAGAACTGCTCGGAGTGAGAACATTTGTGATTTATTAATTCATAAATAAATCCTGTCACGGAGGATGAGTCTGTTTGTGTGTAACTAGTGAGCAGATATGAGTGAAGTTTGGCCAAAAACATTGGCACATAGAAGAGGTGTTAAGTTTAGCATCCAAGAAGCTTTTGATAGATTTTATTGCAAGAATTGACACTCCCTTTTTTTTCACACTAACTTCTGTGCCCACTGGAAAGAAAACAATCTGGAAAACAGATTTCATGATTTTCTGGCAGCGTTTGTTTTGATGAAGATGTGGAAATTGCAGATTTCCTGCCAATGAGATCGAAAGTGAACTGTCTTTTCCACTGAAGTACACAAAGTCTGACTGTCTTTGTCTTTTTGTCTTGCAGGAGATGCTGAATTATGATCCAAACAAAAGGTTGTCTGCCAAAAACGCCCTCGTACATCGATTCTTCCGTGACGTCACCATGCCACTCCCTCATCTGAGACTCTGAGTTGCGCACAGGATCAGGCTGTTTTAACGCCGACAATATCTAAGCAATAAAGACCGTCTCACCATGCAAGCACGTCCATGACTGGAATGGACAGAAAACGGATCACTACAGGATACGTTAGGTTCTTCAGCACCTACAACAAGCCCTCGAGGAGCTCACGTCCCGAGAGTTTTGCTGGTTTTTCAGCCACGTTGTTGCAACAGTTCTGAGTGTTTAACTGTAATTTTCAATAATAATCATCAATAATATTTTGGATATTTATGTGCCACTGCCATGTTGGATGTAAATGTTGTTTGTGATTTGAGATGGGTTTTACTTAATGCCAGTGGGATATGTTTATTATAGTTATGTGCCATTAAATTTCCAAATTTAAATGGTACGCTGGCTTTAAGATTTCCACATTCAAGTAGGCCTTTGCTTAGAATTAAATATAACTGAACCAGTTTGTGGGTTAGTGCAAATAACAGACGCCATGCTTCGTAAGACCTGAGCAGTAAGTTGATAGAGTGACAGCTCTGATCGTCAGCTGATGTAAAACAGTTGGTGCTAAAAGAAAAAGAGATTATAACAGCGTTCTTCTGTTTTGATCCTCTAAACGTTTTGGCCCAATGTGTCTCCACGTGATTTTATAACTGCACCTTTTGTTTGCTTCCAAATGTTTATTTGACTTTCAGGTTTACAGACCAAACTGAAGTTCTGATGTACAAAAGTCCTTGTTGTAATTCAGATTTTACAGAATTGAATGTGCTGTTGCATCTTTCTTACTCTAGATTTTATCCAGACTTATTGAGCTGTTTTTATAGATTCAGTTTATTCACAGTTTAAGAAAATAAACTTGTTTAAAAAAAAAAATGTTACTAGTTTTACTGATGCATTCTAATGTTAACGTACGTGGTCCAGTTTTTGTTTTCGGCATCACCAGAGTCTAAAAGTCTGGAGGCAAGTGTAGCAATTATGCCAATTATTCAAGGAGACTTTTGAGACTCAAATATCAGAATCAAAGGCTGTCTGGCGTTGTTAAATCAAAGTATTGTCACACTTCATTAATCATTTCTAGTCAAACACACAGTTCCACTTACACAGCTGGCAGACACATTGGGTAACTTGTGATTAATGGTTTTATCAACCTGCCAAGTTTTCAAAATGTGCTGTAATTTTGTCTTTCAGTCGTGTGAAAAGGAGCCATTTATCTTCCTGTGGCATCAAATGAAGTAACAGTTAAATATGTGTAATTTATTTATTTCATGCAAACAAATGTAGCTTTCAAAGCTTGGGCAATTATGTTTTAAAATTGGGCGACTCAAGATAAATATTAGTGTTCTCAAGGTCACTGCTTTTAGTGTAGTAACTGCCGACAAATCCGTCCGAGCAACAACTAGCCAGGGTTCACTGACTTCGTGCTGCACATACATCCAGTTCAACCAACAGACTTTCAACTAAAGACGTTGTTATTGGTCACGCCAAAGATGTCACGCTAGTAAATACAGACAAGATCACCATCGAGGAGTTAACAGAAAATCAGAATGGCGTGTGCATTTCTGTCTGTCACACTCATTTCATTCTCCCACTGGGCGTACCACAGTCTAAAATCATAAAATCCAACGTAGCAGCTGTAATGTGTGTTGATATTTACATACTGAACATAGAAAAAGACAGACTGCTCGTTCAACACGTGTAGTTGGCCTTTTATTCTCATAATGAACAATAGAGGAAATACATGAGAGTGGGAAAATGAGCACAATTAAAGCAAACATTAAGAAATTGATATCTTATATTCCAATATAAATTAATAAACATCATATGAGAGGCATAATTGAAATAGTGGTGCTGTTAATTTTTTGATTTCAGTTAGATAAAATGCCATAAAATACATATGTGCTTAACTTGTGGGAAAAGTACATGTAATGCATGAAGAGAGAAACATAATAGTGCCAGCCAGCTGGCAGGTTCTCACACGTTTCCTAATATCCTGGTTAGATTTACTGCAACTCTAAACATCCCTGCTACACTGACAATAATGTGGTTTATGTGGCACTGGTTTTGTATTTCATCAATCTGCACGCTAGAAAAAAAGATAAATTAAATCTGAGTCATAACCTAAGAAAATGTTAATTTTATATCCAGTCTACTGAGCAAGCATCTACTTTATACGCTGCATTAACATAGACGCTACACAAATAAAGGACACATGAGCAGTGGGGAATACGGTTCCATGAATGTGGTTCATTTTGAACAACAAACAAGTACGCACTATGTCAAGCACCCAGCAAGGCTATAGAGATGTATGTTGTAGCAGTTTATTCAGACAGCAAAATGATACGTGAAGCATAAAATGAACAGATCTTGTGGTCCATGTGTTTTATATTCATTTACATGTGTAGGTGTTGCATATTTGTATAACATTTGTGCAAAAAAAAAAAAACAGAATATGGCATAAGTGCTTGAATCAACTGTAGAGACGTACATTACAAACAGTAGCACATGAGATCACAGGTAGTATAAGTACAGTAAATGTGTTCCAGTCACAGAAAACATAGTCTAATTAGAAATAACCTTCATGTGACACCTATTTACAATCGAGCACTTCTAAATATTTGTAGTTGACCTAACAGAACACACCAGTATTTTTTTTTATGATTAGCTCATTTATTACAAATAGGGCGGCTACCAACGTTTTTTTCACTGTCAATTAATCTGTCAATTGTTTTCTCAGTTATTCAGTGAGTTGTTCGGTTTATTGAACGTCTGAAAATTGTGAAAAATGACAATTAGTGTTTCCTTAAAGCCCAAAGTGACCTCATCAGATGTCTTGTTTTGTCCACAACCCGAAGATATTCAGTTTACTGTCACAGAGGAAGATAGAAACCAGAAAGTACTCACTTTTAAGATCTTGGAATCAGAGAATTTAGTGTTTTCCTTAAAAGAAAAAACAAACAAACAAAAAAAAACCTAAGTCAAACCAATTTGTAATTCATCAAAAATAGTTGGCAGGTAATTTAAAAATGAACAATTAATCAATTATTTGGTTAATCGTTGCCCCTTTAATAAGAAATCACAAGTTTGTTGTAAAAAAAAAAAGCTGCTGTAACAGACATATATATATATATATATCTTCATAGTATAAAGTGACTATTAAATACTATGCTAAGCTATAAAAAATGTTGCCAATTGTGACAAACCCTCTTTTAAAACAATAAAAATGCTGCAGTGGTTCTGATATTTTTGTGTATTTTCATTGTACTTCTAAGGATTCATTGCTTCCAATGTGTGTCAAGTGTAATGGCAGACTCATGAAACCTGCTTGATTTGTGCAGCACAATAGCTATTGGTTCTTCTGAAATGTCATGTCATCTTTGTGACTTCACTAAAACAGTTAGGACAGGATACAATGATGGATCTTTGAAAAGAAAAAAAAAAAAAGCAGACTTAGAAGAGTGTGTGAGCTTCAGCAGAAGGTAACTGTCTTGCTCTTTTTGGTTCTTGAAGAAGTTTCACCTTCAACCAAGAAGCCTCTTTAGTTCTATGTGACTGATGGGAAGTCCCAGATTTACACTGTCAGCCTGAAATCACACAACCCATTAACAGCCCAAGATCGACATGCCTCGAAGTGTCAGTGATTGTGAAACTGTTAGTTTAGGGTTGATAATGATGGTGAAACCTTGCGGGGATGGATCTCAAGGCTGCGCTACAAGTAGCTGATAAGTGATGTTGTAGATCCCCTCCTCTGTTTGGAGATGGCTGTTCCACTTCAGCTGGCTTCCTTCACTTCTCTCTAAAACCATCTGTCTTTGGAGTCCAGAGTGTGAACGTTGCTGTTCTCAAAGGATTGTCCATTATACTTCAGATGGACGTGGACTGCTGAGTCTTGGCTCTCCTGTCTTGAGCCATGCACAGTTGTTTATTGGTCTGTGCACTCCTCACTACATTGTACTGCATATGCAACATTTCCCGTTGTGTGTGTGTGTGGGTGTCTTATGTTCAGGGAGAATCAGATTTTGTCTGAGAGTGTTGCTTGCTCTGAAAGAGGGGTAAAGGAAGCCATTTATGTTAAACTGGAACACCAATCTTTAAACAAACGAGGGGGTTTGCGCCACCTGTCAGATATTTATAATACAGTCTTAAGATATCTTCCCAGAAAGTTTTACCATCATTAACATCTTAGGTAGTTCCCAAGCCTGGCAGTTTCACAACCATTCAAACCTCGAGGCATCCGAGTCATACGCTGTTAATGGGCCATTTGCAGTGTGATTTGAAGGCAATATATATCTGGGACTCTCCATCAGTCAGTTAGAACTGGAGAAGTGTCTTGGATGAGGTGTGGTTCTAACCTGGATGACTGATTTAACAAGTGACACATTCAAACATCTGGAATTCGACAGCATGCATTAAAAATGGTCAGAAGCAAGGAAATATTTGGATTGATATTATTTAGATCAAATATCTAGTTTCTTTTTCATGATAAGCTTGTACAGGATCTGATAGCCGTCATCCCAGGCGTAGAGCAGCTGCTCCTGTGGATTGTACTTCAAACTGGAGTGAGATCCATAGCGTTTTGGAAAGTAAACCAGCGGTGCTTCTTCGTTGGTCACCATGCCATTAACATCAAACAAGCACTGCACTCGTGAGCGACCTGGCTGCTTGGTGTTGTACGCTACATACAGAGTGCCACAGATGACAAAAGCAGCCTCTGCATTCTCTCGCGGGCAGTTTGTGTCCCACATCTGCTCAATGTCCAGAGAGTTGGTGTCCATTTTAGCCAGAGAGATGTGCCTCTCGTTTTCTCGTGTGGCGTATATTGCCCACAGACCCTCCTCGTCCACAGCCAGGTCCAACACTGTCTCTGGGGTGAGGCCGTACACCGGGACATGGTCCTGCAATGGAAACACCGCACTGTCCATCACAGAGTTGTTCCTCATGTCATATTTAACCACCGTTATCTCTTCCCCCTGATTGATGTAATACACGTTATTTTTGTAGACCACATGTCCCGTTCCCGTCCAGGCAGATGGCAGCTTCAGGTTGTTGGACAGAGACATGCCCGGTGAGCGGGTAAAGTCGTGCACAGTCGCAAACTCGTGGATGGTGTCTTCATCTGTGCCATTAAAAATGTAGACCTTCCCAGAGGCCCTGCTGGTGTCTTTGGTCCACATTCCCTTTTGCCCTCCAACTCGCTTCAGGATCTTCATGGCTTTTATGCTGGAGATCATGTCGCTGCAATCTGAAAGTGAGAGTGGGACAGGCTTTACATGACGGGGGACACCTCTCCAACATTTTAACAATGTTTATATTTAAATATTACAAATATCTGAACTATTTTTATCTATGGTCCTCACGGAATAATCTAAAATTCTCATTAGATTTGGGACACACATTCATGGTCCCCAGAGGATAAATCCTGATGGCTTTGTAGATAATCAGTTACTCTGGCACTAAGCTGTCACCTCTTCAGTGCATAATCTTATTGTCCATTAGATGGACTGGCACAGAATTTGTTTCTGTATTTCCCACAGTTTGAATCCTGATTACCTTTTGACCAAATGTCCACTATTGAACGACAACCAAGCGGAAACTTTACGGTTGTGCCAAAAACTGCAGTTCCATGAATGGCCACATGAGGCTGGTATCAAAAATGAGTCAGTACAGACCCCCATGTTACAATGCACAAGTTTACAACACAATTAATCATTTTTACAGCCTGGGACAACCGTACAGGGATGAATTTTTATTTTAAAAATTGTAATAAGCCTTTAAATTATGCCTTATTAAGGGTGTGGCTGCTTTGAGTGACAGGTGGTTACCGTCAGAGGACAGACTACGGTCCAGAAACATTTGCATTGCCTGCTTTAGCTTCACTCACATTGCATCTCTTTACTTATTTTTGGATTAGCCAGAAGTTGGAAGAAGTCAGGCATAGCCAAGATGGAAATGGCTGGAGCCTTTACATTGAACTTCTCCACCATTCTTCAGGGAACCTAAAATCTGACTCAAAGGATGTAGGAAGTGGACATAAGCCTCCCGTTGGCTGCTCATTTCAGTTGGCTTTGTCCTTCCCCACAATGAAAATTTCAAGTTCTGTTGAGGATTTGGATCGTACACTAAGGCAGCCTTGCAAGTTTTTTTTTTTTTTTGTGAATTATACATTTTAATGACAGTGCTCATCTTCCTGAGTGCAACTGTTTCACCAACAATTCCACCCGTCACTATTTTGAGTGAACACTGAAGCCGCATCCTTCTCTTTGCCCTACATACAACAACTGTGATTGGTTTAGAGAAATTCAGTCCTTTTTTTCCAACAGTGAAATGATAGTGTTGTGCAGCTGACCATTATGTTCTACAGAACGGGTTGTGGAAGCAAGACGAGGGACACCTATGAGGAGGGTTAATAGGAGGGTTAGTTCGCCCAACTTTATATACAACAACTCATCACTTGTTCTAAGCATTACACATACAGACAGGTGATAAATGAAAAGAAAAACCTGAACCCTTGATAATACAGTGGGGGGATTTGTTGGTTCTGGGAGAATTTTGAAGGTTTGGAACGACTTGTCCCATTAGAGAGAGCAGTCACTACAAATCAGTACAAAGTTATTCTGAGCAATCACCTTTATCCTGTGTTGGGACATTTCTACGCCGATGAGACTGTTCTCTTCCGGATCACATCCATTGGGTATAAGGCATCACTGACTATAAAAATGATGTGAATCATATTCTGTAACCATTACCAGATTTCAACCCAGTTTAACACTGATGGGAGGTTTTGGACCAACATGCTAGACAGTACTCTCCACCACTACCATCAAAACATTAACTGAGGGAACATCCTTTGTAAGAATGGCGTTCATCCATCCAGTAGAGTTCAGAGACTTAAAGGATCAGTACTAAGAAGCACTGAAGCTGTTCTGGAGACACATGGTGGTCCAACACCTTAATAAATTACTTTTTGCTGGTTTTACCTTTGAATTGTTGCCACTCCTTATTTGTCCAGTTCTATCGTTTTCTCAGCTGCAGCTATAGATTGTTTTTAGCGCTAATGGACCTTTTTCACTGCAGATATTTTAGCCCGTCTCAGCAGGGAAAGCACAGGTGGAATTAATGACAACTCCATTAATTGTTCCATAGAGCCGTAACAGGGAAGCAGCATGCACGAAAACTTCCCATCATTATTAATACACCCGTGCTTTCCAACTGTAACAACTCAAAGGATCTACTGTTCGCATGCCCACAGAAGATTTTCTTCTTGTCCGTTTATCTCATGGAAAACCCACCAACATGAATTTATCCAACTAACAAGTGTTGTCTGTGAGGTCTGGCATAAATCATTCTTCACTGTGGTTAATAAACGTCTACTTCAGTGGACCACAATGTTACACTTGGTGACATCTTTCTTTGGTTTACTTGAAATCAATCCCACATGTGCAGTCCTGTGGCCATAAATTCTCCAAATCTGCTATTAAAACAGTCTCCAACATACACTGCTTCCTCTTGTTTGAAACATGTTTGCTAAAAACTACAACGTCCAGCAGTTTGGGGACATTACTTAGAGTTCTTTCTGAGCTGTTTGTGGGCAATTTTCGTTAGTGACACCAAAAAATTGCAGTTTGCTAAGGATTGAGAAGTTTAACTAATGATAAGTGTAATATGTTACGTTTTAATTTTTCTTAAGTATGCACATCATTTCTTTAACTTACAGTGTTTATTCTAATAAACATGAAGGAACATCATGACCCACCTGATAGTTTTAGGTATTTGGCCTTCTGCTTCTCCTTCACCAGAGTCACCTGCTGCTCTATCAGCTTGTCGTCCACGTCCACACATGGCTGAGCTCCGTTCTGAGTCTCCAGATAGTCCAGTTCCCGCTCAACCCGGTCCACCCTCGTCCCCACGCCGTCCAAATTTATTCTCAGCGTCTCTTTTTCTTTGTCCAGGTTCTCCAGCTGGGAAACCATTTGTTGCTTTAGCTCCCGCAGCTCTGAGGCGTAGCGGGTGGTCTGTTCATGCCACAGAGAGATCCTGTCCTGTTGGTTTCAAAAGGTGATTAATTTTATCTGAGACTGGAAACAAGAAGAAATGGTCAGACATGTTTCCGTCTGCCCCGTATTTCAGTGTGAGTAATATATGGATGTGTGGGTTGTTTTTTGTTTTTTTGTTTTTACAGTGACCGTACATGGATTTCTCGAAAGCAGACAAGGCCGTAATTTTATGTTCTTTTCATGCTCAGTAAATACACTGTAACAGAAGGCCATAATAAGAAGGAAACACATCCTTCAAACAACCAGGTTCAGCCCACACGTGGCAAGTATCCACCCTGCTCAAGTGGGTTTTAGCAAAACGCTGAATCCCATCACTCACTCTGCTGGTGCTGCTCTGTAGCACATCCTGACCTTTGACCTCACTGTGGAAGAAGGAAAAATATCCTCTCCTCAGGTGATCAGACATGAGCTTACAGAAAAATACTGACTGAACAATGTGGATGTTGAATATTTTGAAAGCTTAGTGTATTAAGCAGTGTTTAAGGCACTATAGATCTGAGAAAGGATCACTTAAAATATATATATATATTTCAGACAAATTAAGCCACAATATTAAAATAGAACTGAATGAGAAAATCTCCAGAGTAAACTATTAATGTTTGTTTAGTCAGTGCTCTGAGATATTAAGTGAGAGTATAAGTGTATTCATCACATTTTTCTGACATTAGTTCCTACCAAAATATCATAATAGAAAATATAATTTTGTGATGCCAGTGTTATGCAAGTCATCTAAACAAAAAACTTTTTAAAATGATAGAATTCCTTAAAAACTACTCTGCTTGACATCATATATGCGTGAATAAACGTCTGAGCTGTATTTTTCCCTCAGAACCCAGACAAGAAGCTTACAGTCCCTATACATTTTAAAGAGCTGTATTTTCCAGTATTTTCCCCCAAGATTTACCCACATCTGCATTCCATTGCCTTTGCCGTGTCCCTGGAAGTTTCCTTTCAGAGGGACTCTGGAGCGCAGGGCTCGGCAGGGAGGTAAAGTGAGTCTTACCTCAATAGCAAGCAGCCTCCGCTCCAAGTAGTCAATCAGTGCTTGGTGCTGAGCTGTGGCAAAGCAAGCCAAAGTAACCAAGACAACGAGTCCCCTCATTTTGTGTCAGCTCAGTCCCTTTTTAACTCCTGTAAAATCTTGACTGGAGTTCAGTGAGAGTGTGCAGAGGAGCCAGCAGATTCCCAGAGGTGGGCTGGAATGTTTTACTAAGCTGTCTGGGAGGAGCCTGAAACATCTGGTGGAGATGGAAGCACACAGGCTTTGAGATGGACAAGACAGTGCCGCTTATTTCTACATAAACTCTTACCTGGTTGACATTTAAAAAAAAAAAAAAAAAAAAAAAAAAGCTACAGCAGCATATGTTCCCGTGCTAAAGTTACTGTTTGGCTTTAAGAGGGTTTGACACATCTTTTCTTACACAGGTCATTAATGTGGCACTGCACCACAAGTGACGTAGGAGGAGGCAGGAAACGAAATGTGAGTTGGAGTCAGGAGTCAGTGAGGCACTGTACTCCTGTAGAAAGGGGAACAAATCAGTGGCAGTGGATTTGAATTAGAATGAAGAAAAAAAACCAACAACATCAAATTGAAAGAGTAATTTGTCAATTTAGTCCCTCCTCAGTACTCTGTACTTGCTGGGAAGAGTTATTGTCCCTTTGCCCTCTGTGCAAAACTGTATTTTAATAAATAATTCACAATAATAGTTCATTTGCAAAAACAGATAACTCCATTTTTGTAGATTTTCAGAAAACTTTTTTTTTGTTGTTTGCTTGAGATAATATTAATCAAACTGAAGTTGAGTGGATGTGACTCAGTAGAAATGACATGACAAAAATAGAGTTTTTAAGTTTCATTGATATTGTCTCAGGTAGATGATGGAAAAGTGGGTTTTCTGAAGGTTTGTGAAGATGGAGTTATCTGTTCTTGCAAATGAACTCTTCAATTGTTACTTGAGGCCTCAGTAGACAGATCAAGTGGATATCTTCCAAAATTAGTGTTTTTAAATCAAAGGAATCAACTGTGTAAGGAAACACAAAGAGCAACATCTGTGCTAAAAAAGACTGCATCTGGAAAATCTACTGTAAAGTCTTGACCTTTAAAGACAGGTGGTGACATATTTGACACAATATAAATAAAACTGAACTAAATTACATTTTGTCACATTGTGTGTTTGTCTGCTGTGTTTCCCAGCTGTAGTAGCTCCAACAGTAGTAATGATGCCCAGAGCAGAACAAAAACAGCAGTTAGAGCTCTGAATTACTGGGAATAGGAAGGAAATAGTGCTAAAACTGTCTGCCTTGTAATTATATGCCCACCTTGCTTTACAAAAGCTAGATTATGACGCTGAACAAACTTTTCCAAGAGGTTAGTTTTACAGTTTTTCCAGTTAGCTTTAAAACGCAGCCCAACACAACGTAATTAGTGTGTATGTTGTTGTATTCATGCTATAAATAACACCTAAATCTTCTTGCTGGTATTTTTTTGTGTGCCATTCATTAAATTGCGGCCCTCTCATGTCTGTTACATAATGTCCAGTAGAGACACACATGGAAAAGGTTGTGAAAGTAAGATTTTATTTATTCTGAGACTGAGAAAGGAAAAGAAAAAAAATTTAAAAAAACACATGCGTTTGCTGTTAAAGTAGTGCAGTCATCTTCCCCCAGCTCATCTGAGGTGGTAAATGGATTTTGCTAATCAACACAGTATTGTTCTAATTCAGTATGAACTACAATGGAATTTATTTGCATGTTCATATTAACAGAAGCGCTGCTGTATGTGTCTGCACACAGTCCACTGGCACCATCTCCACAGACAGCAAGATGGCTTTCATTATTGTATTAGTCAAAGCAGAGTCTGTGAAAGATGACATCTGTTCTCTACCGCTCAGGCCCACATCTATCCAACAAGTATTATTTATGGCAATACAAGTGAGAAGTTTGAATATTCTTGTATATCTATATTTAGTTATATGCAGTGTGGCTGTCTGGCAGACTGGTGACCTGTCCTGGGTGTTTCCTGCTTGCCCAGAATCTGGCAGGATCGCAGGATTACATTCATAGTTTCAATGTATTTAATGATAATATATTCAAATATTCTAGACTCGTGGCAGAATTCATGCTTCGAACAGATTTATCTGATCTTTCACTACAGATTGAAGGGCTGGGTTAGTGTTGTACTTTGACAAAGCTGAGATGTGGTGCATAGTGTAAAACTCAAATGTACAAATTAATGCAACAGATGCTGAAATGCAATAATATAATGTAACACTAGTTTTGTAACAACATTGTGTAGCACTGTTATTCTTTATTACTTTTTATGTACAATTCATCACATTGTGTCTCATACAATTTGGGTGCCTGTCAATCGTGCCATATCTGTGCATGTGACAGGTGCACATAATCTTTATTATTACTGTTATCTTTATTCTACTGTTGTGGGTTTTTTTTAAACTATATTTGAGGGGGTTACTGCCAAAGTGGGTCAAACCACATTTACTAGTTTTTAGAGGGGTTTAAAATTTTGTGTTGCGAAAAAAAAAAAAACATAGTTGTTGGAGGAGTCACTGTATGCATCCAAAGATGTTTCAACACCATCCAGAGATAGAAACAACCACTTTGTGACGACTTATTTAAGTTTTCATATTACCTTTACTTTTGCTGAGTGCGTAAGCGGACCATACCACATTTTCTACTTTTTGAGAAAAAAAAAAAAAAAAACGATTCAAGGTTCGTCTTGCTGAACAGCACTGAAGAGTTTACATGACTCATCATAAGGAACTAGAGATACTTTTGAGGACCATGGGGTACAAACATATGCTTGGTGGTGGTTAATTACATTTTTATTTTACCTTACCATACCTACGAGTTGAGTTTTCACGGGGCTTGTCCGCCATCTTGAATCAACACATGCACCTACCTGCGCCCGCGATATGATGATGGTCAGCAATTCCTGTGGTTTGGCCCAGTTTGCCACTAAATTTTCATGCCAAAGCCCTTATGGGCCAAACTTCAAAGTCGCCTTACTAGTGAGCTGTTGGTTGGACCGCTTTGCCACAAACTAGTAAACCATAAACACTTAACACATGAACACAAAAAACATAAAAAGCATAAAACTTGACTTTGGATTTTTTGTGGTTCGGTACATGTGCGTTTCGCGATTGTTTTTCGCGTTCACGAGTAACAGCGTGTTTTCTTGCTCTCCAGCGTCTCCTCCACCGGCCCCAGCATCCAGCCTCTCCATCCCACTGCGTCAGCCATTGTTCTCCTCCACGGAGCAACGAGCCTGGAATTCCTTCACACGAGCCCCGCACGGGAAGAACACCACATGAGCACGAGCACAGGAAGATCGCCAAACGAGCACAAGCACGGGAGACCACCGCACAGATGACTGCTCGGGAGATCACCCTCCACCACGGCACCAACGCACCTGCCCCGGATTCCCTCACCTGCCCTCCAGTGTCTCACACACCCTGGTTCCCTTGAATAAAGCCTGTTATTCCTTACCCCGCTCCCTTTTCGTTTTGTTCATTTTATCTTAAATATCTTGATTCGAAGTGCTCGTATGAGTCAGTCAAAAACACTGGATCCTATATTTCCAATACGTAAGCCAATAGTGTCATTTCTTAAACTTTTTTCCTACTTTGTTAATGCCCAAGCAATTCAAACTTTGCTCTGCTCATATACAGTGCAGACTTATTGGTACATAGTTGTCTCTGAACCAAAATTCACATTGATCATCTTGACAGTTGGACTGCACACCACATGGGTACAAATGCACTGAGCAGCAAGTCTCTGCTTCAGATCTCAGATGGGAACTATTTGCTGCATGTCATTGCCCTACTTTCTTCCCCACATTTCCTGTCTCTCTCCATTGCCACAATGAAATAAAGGCAAAGAAATTCCCCCCAAAATACTTTAAGCAAAGGAAGGTTACTGTCAAGAGCTTCAGAAAACTGAAATTCATGTGTAAAAGTGGTGGAGGACCCATTGACGAACAGCAAATAATAAAACTCACTAAGTTAACTTTACTAATACCAAATCAGCAACCACACAAAGCCCAGAAAGATGTATATATGTGTGGATTATCTGAAAACAAAGCAGGTAATATGGACGTCTACACCTCCTCTGAGCTCTAGTCTGCTCTTCACCTGTGGATCTTTCCATTCCAGTATACAACCGAGTAAAATATGTCAGTGTCGTGCCAGTGAACCTGATTTGTAAGTAATTTCCTCCTAGCAACAGTACTCCATTGTACAGGGCTGTAACTCATTTGTAAATCTACCAAATCTGCTCTGAAGCTACGTGCAGGGTTGTGTATGTAGATGAGATGGGCTCTACCACTAATGCTGTGGCTGCTGTTTGGCTTTACTACAACTGAAGGTCTGTTGTGCTGCTCAGCATTTACAACATGGTTATTCTGCCGCTCTGATGTAGTGTGAGGCGTATTTATGACTTAACTCGGCACCATCAGTGGTTGAGGTTTGTTTGTGTAGGGATGAGCTTATTTGAATGGGGGGCTTTTTTCTGTTTAATTAAAAAGAAAAAAAAAAAGTGGTGCAGAACAAAACAAGGATTTCAGGTAACGACAACAACCAGGATAATACGCTTATTTTTAAATTACAGGGTTTAAAGGTGGTTATGTTGCAAACCTGTATGTGCAAGTGTGTGTAGGTGGTTATGTGCAGGTATACAAATGTTTCTGTGTTGAGATGTCAGGAGGTGTGGCTTGTTAGTTCAGAGAATTCATGCATGAAACATTAAATTAGGGAATTACCTTTAAAAATTGCCTGTCCTGTGACAGAACAATACCGATATCACTATAATAGACATCTGTAATGTTTGGTAAATCTCTGAAACTGTGTTTAGGAGAATGTGTTAACCCAATAAATCATGACGTGTATCTATCTACATGATAGCACTTTAGTCATGATGTCACATATGAGTATTGATATCAGTAATTCTGTCTGTGGTGTTAACTTGTAGAGCCAAATTCTGTGGGAACATTGCCCTCAAATACCAGTAGGTTGAGGTGATATATATGCACTGGAGAAGGATGGAGCCATCTTTGGCTTGAATCGGGGTGTGCAGTTTTATTTTTAAAAGAATACTTCACTGATTCAGCACTGAACCCCTGTCATTTTGTCAAACTCTCAATGGAGACTTTAAAAATAGATCCGACTTGGTGTATTAGATATGATCTTTTTTATTCTGCAATTTCCTCTCCCTTGTCAGGACCTGGCTGCTGTAGTACCCACTATCAAGTTTCTTTATGTACGCACTCATTCAGGAGCAGGCACCCGGGAAAAAACTCAACCAGGATGTGTCCAGTGTTATGTCCAGTCTGTTGTTGCCTCCAACATGTCTAAAAAAACCTAACCTAACTCAACGCCTCCTGAATCAAGACACCATCAGGCTGGACGCTGCAGGCCCGAGTGTGTTTGAATGTGTGTGTTTAAATTAAATCTACAGTGGATATTATACTACAATTCCGACAGCAATGGCTGTTAGGATAAGATATGAAATTCATGTGCCAGACAAGAGCATAAATGCAGTGCCTATTAGAAAAACCAATAATATATAAGTATGACACATTACTAAAAATAAAATAAGACTAGAATAGAAAAGTAAGCAGTCATATCAGCAATGATGATGAAGTAATATTGCACATAATATTAAAAGATTGTACATGAAAATGGAATGAAAGGAAAACTACTACTCCTGCTGCTAATACTATGAATTACTATTTATCATTATGAGTAACTTCAACAATCACTTAGTTATAATTTTCCATTCTCATGCAAAGCTCATGAACATGCGTTTTACTCACAGACACTATGTCTACCTGCTGTGTAAGTCTCCATATATGGTGTGGATGTGGTGGTACGGGGCCGAGTGGGCCGGGAAACCAATGGACATCATGATCAGTGTTACTGTGTGCATTTGAATATGAGTCAATCCTTTTTTTTTCTGCACATTTGCCTACAGGATTTTGTGTCTTCTTCAGTGATTGGACAGAACACTGTGAAAGGACCTGAAACATGCAAACGCAGGCAAATCTTTTAGGGGCGCTGTCAGGAGGCGAATTGAGGGTCTTTTGTTATTAGACACAAAATCAGCTGTTGGAAGATCATATAGACGTACAGGAACCTCTTCATACAAGAATAGCAGGTAAGCACCGTTTGATAAGATGCATTTTAGCTGAGTCTTGAAGTTAGTTTTTTGTAAAAGAGACTAAAAGGGGAGAAGTTATGATCCTATACAAAAGGAAATTCTATTTTATGCACTAAAATGAAAGCAGTTGGAGATCAATTCTTTTTCAACAATTTCTTCTTCCTAGAAAAGGAAAACCAAGCTACAAAGGTGTCACTGAAGCCCAGCGCGTCCGAGCAACATGGAGCAAACATTTAGAGCAGTGACTCAAAACCCTGGAATTATAATCTGGAGAATTGAGGTGATTTGTTTTAAATTACTGCGATAGGTTTCTAAAATCAACTAAATGATTTAATTGATGAAATAAAGGATAAACTATTTTGCTCTTACAGGAAAAAGTTTGATCTGTGATAATTGAGGATTAAATAGAAATGGCTTTTAAAACTAAAACATGTTTTTTTTTTGTTTGTTTGCTAAAAGTGAAAAGATCATCCTTTTCTCTCTGTGTAACAGAAAATGGAGCTGGTTCAAATCCCTGAGAAATCGTATGGAAACTTTTTTGAGGGTGACTGCTACGTACTTCTCTCTGTAAGTCTGGGAAGCTGACTGATGAATCATTGTAGCTGTGGGTGCCAGTTAATGCTCCTGCTGTGTTTGTGTACTTTGCTCTTTGGTTATGTGCTGTAGTTAACAGCTCTCGCCTTTAGTCTTTCACAGAGCATCATTCTTCCCAGAGCAGTTTAACCACCGTTTCTCTACTTGTGCATTCCTCCAGACCCAGAAGGTGAGGAACTCTGTGTCTTATAATATCCACCTCTGGATCGGCTCAGCGTCTTCTCGGGATGAACAGGGTTCAGCTGCTGTTTACACCATACAGCTGGATGAGTTTCTGGGCTGCTTGCCGGTGCAGTACAGAGAGGTCCAGCACCACGAATCTGATGTTTTCAAGGGCTACTTCAAACAAGGAATAATGTGAGTGAAAAAGCGTTTGAAGTAGCTATTTATAAAAGAAAAAAAATAAATAAAAGAAACTAAAAAAGTCATCACTCTCTTTTGTTCAGCTACAAGAAAGGTGGACATGCGTCTGGCATGAGGCACATTGAAACCAACACATATGATGTAAAGAGGCTGCTTCACGTGAAAGGAAAGAAAAGAGTGATTGCCAGGGAGGTGAGCCATGTATCCCAGTGGTTATATAACAGACAGAGGATGTCATGTAGACAGAGTGCTTCATGCTTTAATTTGTTTCAGGTGGAGATGAGCTGGAAGAGCTTTAACCTTGGAGATGTGTTTTTGTTGGACATTGGCAAAACCATTATTCAGTGGAACGGACCAAAGAGCAACAAGCAAGAACAACTTAAAGTAAGATTTTTGTGACTATATGGGTATCTGTTTACACTGCCTGAAGCAGGATCCATTTATTAAAACATATGGTAAAGAAGAAATAACAGATTTTTAGTATGAAGCTGCTCATTTTCAGATTTATGGTGATCTCAGTAACCTTGTGTAAACTTTTCCACGGTATACCTGCTTATAGGTCTGACTACAAATCCAGAGAGCTGTGGGTGTGCATAGTTGAAGCTCATTTCCTTCTTCCTGCAGAAGGCTGCAGGCTCTGCAGGAGAAAAAATACAGCTTTATATAATAGCTCTGCACTGAGGAGTGACACTTTAAATTATCAATAGTCATAATGCAAGCATTTATATTATTTTTGTCTAACCCATGCTGTAGGAAATTCAGTCATGTTTAGCCGTTGGCACATATGCTTCATCCAAGTTGCATGTACTGGGATGATAATGGGATTTCCAACAAATCTGCTTAGAAAGTCTGAAATTAAAAGTAGATAACATTGGTTCACTTCTGACAAGATGTGTCCTTGTGCAGTGGTGGAGAAAGTATTGAGATTATATAAAGTACAAAATCATTTTTATATTTCCTCCTTTGAGCAATCTGAAACAGATACTTGAGAAAGACTATGTTGAAGACATAGTCCTCACAGTAGAAACTTCAATTGCCAATTGCATGAAAACGGCTATAAAATTACCTGTGAGCACCAGAATCTTCTTAGTTTTGGACCTGTGGGCTGTATCAACCTGCATGTCAGCATCATGGCTCCACATGGGAAAAGACTGCTGGAGCAGCTAAAAAAAAAAAAAAAAATTCAGAATATGAGACTTCACAAAGATGGAAAAAGATACAAGGAGATCAGTGACCAACTAAAACTGAGGGGAATCACAGTTGCAGCAGTAATCATGAGAACAAGCCATAGTACCTGTTATAATTAAGTATGATTCAAGCTATTATGTGTTCTGAGTCTGTATTTTTCCATGAAGCCTATGGTTCTTATAATCAGTTAAGTTTCAAGTTATTATGTATTCTGAGTTTGCATTTTGTACTGAGCTTATGTCCTTGAAAATAATGTGGCCAGTGAGAACTGGTTTGCACACCTGGAGATAGCGGAAACTCCTCTTTTCTCTTAGACACGATTGTTGCTTTAGCTACATGCCGTACCAACAACATCCACACACGTTGCTTACCAAATATCAAGGACGTGGACAGAGCACAAAAGGATGCCTGTCCACACAACTAGTAACTGGCCAACTAAATCTTATCTATGTTCGGGGCAGGCCCAGCCCAAGAAGATATCTGTAACCTGGAACCGAAAACACTCAGTTCAGCTGGACATGAGATTCCTCTCTGTCCCTCTGAATTCCAGCGCTGCAAAACTTTACCTGTGACCTAAATAAATTCTGCATCTGAGAACTGAAGATTTCTCCGGCTTGTTCTTGGGCTTCCAACTAAAGAACCGGATCTAACATACCTCTAATCAGAGCCACACTGGCCGCCCTGCAGCAGTGATACTACAGATAGTGCACTACTTGCACAATCTAGCTCCGATGAACAGATGGTAAGGTGCTTAAGACTGGAACAGCGGTTATTGATGGAAATCACTATTTATGTGACAGCTTAGACGGCATGTAGGACAAAAGGAAAAACCCTTGTTTTGCTTTTTGGCAAAGGTGTAACTTCGCTAATGGACATGAAAAGTAGCCTGAGAAATACTGGGAGCACATTATTAGGTCAGACGAAACCAAGATATATTTGTTTGGCCAGATAGGGGGTGAGAATGTTTGTGTAAAGTTATGAATAGGTAAGAACTAACATGCTGCAAATAAATGACAGAGGATGTTAGAGGACTCTGAGCAGTAATGTGAACACATCTAACAGGTTTTGAACTGTCATTACAGATTGATGTGGAGTCTGAGCTTGTCTGTGCTTTACCTGTGCTTCTCAGGGCATGTTGTTGGCCAAAGACATCCGAGACAGAGAGAGAGGAGGTCGGGCAGAAATCGGAGTGATCGAAGGCTACGCAGAGGGTGACTTTCCTCAGAACATGGAGATCCTGAATGGAGTTCTTGGAGAAAGAACCTCTGGACTGAAGAATGGACCTTCTGATAAAACTGCTGACCAGGAACAGAAGGCTAAACTCACACTATACCAGTGAGCCCTGATCAGTGAATACTGAATATCCTAAATGTGTCATGCAGTATGTGAGAATTCATCCATTTTCAGTCACAGTTTTGACTGATTATATTGATGATCGCGGCTTTCATTTCAGCGTGTCAGATGCTGATGGTGAGATGAAGGTCACAGAAGTCGCTACGAGGCCTTTGGTTCAGGATCTCCTCAGCCATGATGTGAGTTGGTGTAACACTGTTATGCCCATTTCTATAGAAACTAATGCTAAAAATGTTTATATACTCACAAGAAGATAGAGATGTTTTGTGTCCTTCATGTAATTATTATTTTAGGACTGCTACTTGCTGGACCAAGGAGGGACGAAGATCTTTGTCTGGAAGGGGAAGAGAGCAAATAAAACTGAAAGACAGGCTGGTATGGCCAGAGCATTGGTGAGTATCACACCATGAGCTTGTGTTTGATCGCTCTAGGGTGGCATGCTTATTTTGTATGTTGTATCTGGCTGCTATAGGAGTACATCAAAGCAAAAAAATATCCGCTCACTACAAATGTGGAGACGGTGAATGACGGCGCAGAGTCTGCTCTGTTCAAGCAGCTGTTCCAGAGTTGGACTGTGAAGGACCAGACTCAGGGAATGGGGAAAGCAAACACAAGGGGGAAAATTGGTGCGTATATGGGTAAATTCATAGAAACACAGAAATGCCTCCGAATTTAAAAAAAAAAAAAAAAAAAGCGAACCCACACACATTTTCTTCCACTTGGTTACTGACTTGTGATTGTGTTTTATGACCGTGTTTGGTTTTAGCTGATATCACACAGGAGAAGTTCGATGCCTCTATGATGCATGTGATGCCAGAAGTTGCAGCTCAGGAGAGAATGGTGGACAACGGTACAGGTCAAGTGGAGGTACAGCATTTGCAACAGTCCTTGAAACCTCTAAAACTATTTGGATTGATCTTAAACAGACATGAATGGAGATCAGCCCATCTCCAACATTTCAGTTTATGATAACTTCAAAGCCAATGACTGAACACCTGTCAGCTTCGGTGGTTCAGGGAGGTCACAGTGCTAACATGCTGATATCAGTGTTCTTAGACTAAAACAGGACAATTTTGCATCACTCAAAATGCAGCTAAGTTTAGGCTGAGCTGAGGCAAACGGCTGGATTACCGTCTGGCAAAATGTGCAGCTAGAGACACCAAGCAGCCTGTGTGTCCGTTACTTGGTTAAATTTGATAACAGCTCAGGTAGCCAAAATAGTTTGGCCCCATAATCGTCCAGAAGAAATAACTCGGCCCAGGAACGGTTTGAATGATGACACATAGCTGTTGCCAGTACACTGTCCTGAGACCAGGTGCTGAAACCAGGCCTGCAATAGCCCAAGTTCTAGTTACCGCACATGGTCTATGGTTGATCTCAATGGAGCTAAATTTGCCCAATCTCAGCCCAGACTGGCCCGAATCCAGTCACACAAAACCAAGCTAAAACCTGTGATTGTTACTGGGTCAGAGGCAGCTCACCAAAAGTGCCAAAAACAGCTGAGTGTGCCAACGTTTAGCTCAACTGGTTCGGCCCTACAACTTTTATTTTTTATTTTTTTGGACTGGGTCCCCCTAGTGGGAGAGAAAAAGGCTGCAACTTCTGGTTTGTTTTCTATCAGTGAATTCAGCTGTTGTCTTGACATGACTGGTCTGCAGCAACAATTTTCTGCAGTTTGCAATGCAGTGCTAATTTCCTTTGAATGTGTCCAGGTTTGGAGAATTGAGAATGTGGAGCTTGTCCCTGTGGAGCCTGAGTGGTATGGATACTTCTTTGGAGGAGACTGCTATGTGGTTCTCTACACCTACCTGGTCAACAACAAGAAGTGCTACCTGCTCTACATGTGGCAGGTGAGGACACAATTATATCACGTTTCTTACCCTTGCTTTCCCTGCTTTTTACATTTTCTCTGACTATCATCACACTGTGTGAACTCCAGCTACTTTGTCACTTATTTTAGGGGCAACATGCGACACAGGATGAAGTGGCAGCCTCAGCGTTTCAGGCTGTGGCCTTGGATCAGAAGTACAACGGCGAGCCAGTTCAAGTGAGAGTAACAATGGGCAAGGAACCGAGACACTTTATGGCCATTTTCAAGGGGAAAATGGTCATCTTTGAGGTAAGGCTCCTGACTGCGTTTTATAATTTTACTGGAAACATTCTGCTATCAAGAATCAGACGTGTTCTGCTGATGTTGTTATAATGGTCGAGGACATTTCTCTTTTTTTTCTGTTAGGGAGGCACATCTAGAAAAGGCTCTTCTGAACCAGAGCCTCCAGTAAGGTTGTTCCAGGTTCATGGTACTGACGCGTCCAACACAAAAACCATCGAGGTTCCAGCCGTGGCCGCCTCTCTGAACTCCAACGACGTGTTTGTAATGAAGAGCCAATCAGCAGTTTTTCTGTGGTGTGGGAAGGTAAAAGAAACCGAGAATTTATGATAGTTTTTCTTGTAGTTTTTGGCTGTATTTTGTGTATTTTTTTTGTCATGTTTACATCTATACACCTGGTCTTATATAATGGTTAAAAACATAAATGTTGCTCCAAAAAACAAAAAACCCAATATTTTTGTTCACTGTTTATGTAGGACTGTTTTTGACTGGTTTGCAGTAGGCTTCTTACATGCATCACATAAAATAAATTTACAAAAGTTATAAACGTAAGTTTGCAGAAGCATTTAAGGAGATGGTACTAATTTTTCAAGTTTGACTACTGGGTGGTGATTGGGCATGTCACGTACAGTCAAAGTGCCCTAAAAGAAAATGCTCATCCTCTTTAGTTGTGCACTTTAAAATAGGAACAGACAACAGGTTCCTGCCTAAAGACTTTGAATTGGTAAAGAGCGAGTGATAACCTGTCAAATGTGTGAAACAGGGGCAGCCGATGTGATAGCATCAGCAGTAATGAAAGGTAATAAACTTTTCTGACTTCTTCAAATACTCTAGCTGTTGTTTTTTTGTATAGTTTTTAATCTGTGGAATAGTTTATGCCTGATAAGAGCTCAATACACTAATCTACACATGGGGAAATGAAAGTATATAGATGGTGTGAGATGATAAAAATATCACACCTACAGGTTTTTAACTGAAGGTTTAAGATTGCTGGAGAAGTAACAAGTACGGGACTGTAGTTGTGTATGTTTGTGATCAAAGCCAATTAGAAATATGTCAGTTTTTCACACATATGGTGACAGAAAGTTTGCAGACATTCTTATTAGCATGACAGTGTTGTAAGGTTCGTAAAGATAATGGGGTTCTTAGTAAGCGTTGAGTAATTTAACAGAGTCCTGATGTCACCTCCATCAGCCCTTTAACTGAAACTCAACTGCAAACCAGAACCTTTTGTCCTACATCTGGTTCATCTTCACTAATACTCTTGTAGCTGAAGAGATTAAAATCTCACAGTGAGGTTCAGAAAACCTTTTGAGAGGAGTTACAGTAACGGAATGATACTTATTAATCATATGTGGGTGCATAGCTTTGGTGTCCACATACTTTTAAACTAAATACAATACTATATTAAAGTATTGCCACAGCAAGGGTTTTGTTCCAGCCTATCTGGCAGCGAGCATCTGTCCTGTTGTGGTTTTCTTGAGTAAGACACTTAATCTCTTCCAGTTGCTGACTCATCGGGCAAATCTGTCCTTTCTGGAATCACTAATTGGACTCAAGATTTCTCTCATTCTTTGGACCCACATCATGTTTGATGAAATTACTGTAGGCCGTAACTGACTTTTTGTTACCAGGGATCGAGTGGAGATGAGAGAGCCATGGCCAAAGAGGTCAGCTCCGTGATTAGCCACAACTCACAAGGAGGCTCTGAGGAAATCGTGGCCGAGGGTCAGGAGCCTGCCGAATTCTGGGAGCTGCTGGGAGGGAAAACTTCTTATGCAAGTGACAAGAGGTAGGGAAGATACGAATACTAATATCAGCAGTGTTAGGGTAAAAGTGCATGTCAGTGGTTAGAGCACCACGCTTAGAGGAGACATGTTTGTTTTCCACTGTTGTACAAGTTGTGTGTTGTTGTGCAGATTACAGCAGGCGGTTTTAGACTATCAGCCGCGGCTGTTTGAATGCTCCAATAAGACAGGACGATTCACTGTGGATGAAGTGGCTCAGTTCATACAGGAAGACCTCAACGAGGGTGATGTTATGCTGCTGGACACGTGGGACCAGGTATGTTTGTAATAATAATAATACACACTGAACCCAGATTATTATACTCAGGCCATATTTTCATTTAAAATGATTTTTATTTAATCAACAGACTTCTTCTGGCTGGAAATCACATAAACAAGTGACAAAAGTCAAAAAGACATTGTGTTAGAGATATTAATGATGAATTTTAGGTATTTCTATGTCTTTATGTCCAAAATGACACATGCCCTTGAAAACTGTTGCCAGTTTTTGAGAAGGTTGAGCCTCTACCATTCTGAATGATCCTGGTCATTTCTGTCTAGTCTGGACCTCTGTAAAACACTATGTATTAAGAACAGCTGATGCAGTAGTTTTCGAGACATTTTCCAGTCAATTATAAGTCATGATTAAAACCTGAGTGAGCTTGTTATTATGGTCCATCCCATCCATACCAGTGGCCACAGTGCATCTTCATCAAAAGTAAAAGGAGTTCTAAACTGTGAAAAATCCCAAAGGTCATGGTAGAAAGCCAAAAGTGATCCCTGTACTGGCAAGAATGGTAGTACGCGAGGCCACAATGAATCCAAATATCACCACCAAGACCATCCTGATGAATCTGAGCAGTTCTGGTACCAACGTCTCAATCAGACACTCCAGCAGACACTGAACAAGGCTGGTCTGCTGGATATCAACCAAGGAGGACTCCACTTCTCTAATACAGGCACACAACAGCTAACTGAGCCTTTGCAAAAGTTCACCTGGACAAAGAAAGATTTTGATCATCGGTTCTGTGGTGAGTTGATACGAAAATTGAGTTGTTTGGGCTTTAAAAGTAAAAAAGTAAGGAGAACTATTCCACCCCAGGAACACCACCCTTACAGTCAATCATAATGGTAAGAATGTGATGCTGTGAGGTTTTTTTGTCAGTCAATGGACCAGGCAACCTGGTCAAAGTAAACGACATCGTGAGCAAAGAAGACTGCATAAAGATACATTTTGGAGGAAAACACCAGACAGTCTACAGAATAGCTTGGCCTTGGTCAGCATCAGACTGTCCAACAAGGCAGTGATGTGAAACATACAGTTATAAAGGTCAAGAAATGGTTAATAGAAAACAATATCAACATTTCGAGGCGACCCAGCCAGAGTCCAGACCTAAATATCATCAAGAACCTGTGGAGGAGCTGAAGACCAGGGTGATGGCAAGAAACACTTCCATCATTAAAGATCTGGAGTTTGTCACAAAGACGAGTGAAGCAGAATACCAATGGAGACCAACAGAAAGCTTGTTAGTAATTACAAAAACTGTTTGATTTCTGTGAAGGCTAATAAAGGATTTGCCTTTGAAAGTCTATATACTACTTACCAAGAAAGTCTATGACGTGGCATTTTAATATTAGTAATAATATACATTTTATCACTGACACTATGTCTTACCATCTGTTCTCACTTGCTTATATCCTTTCCACCCAGAAGAAACCTACTAATCAAACAAAAAGTTAAATAGGTAGTTAAAAATTAAATAAATCAAGATGTGGCATAGGTATGAATCACGTAGGGCTTTACTATACATGTGCTTTGTCATTACTGCTGAACAATACTGACTCTTTATTTTTCGACTCTCTCTTTCTTTGGGTGAACTCCCATCGGTTTAATCACGTTCTGCTTTTTCTCATTGTCCGTCTCAGATCATGCTGTGGATCGGTAAAGAGGCCAATGAAGTGGAGCGCAAAGAAGCAGTAGTCACAAGCCAGGAATACCTGCGCACCCACCCAGGTGACAGAGATCCAGACACCCCCGTCGTCCTGATCAAACAAGGGTTCGAGCCTCCCACCTTCACTGGCTGGTTTACAGCCTGGGATCCCTCCAAATGGAGTGTGAGCGTTCTGATTTTGACCTGAAATACAGGATTACAGTGTATTTTTAGCAGATAGACTGCAAGCTGACAAATATTTCTTTATTTCAGGGAGGAAAGAGCTATGAGGAGTTGAAGCAGGAGCTGGGAGACGTAGCATCACCTGTTAATGTGAACACTGTAAGTACCATTACCATTCCTGGAGCTTTTTAGGGTGACAGAAACAGTTGTTATATTTAAGATAACGTTTCTATGATAGTACTACCTCCTGATATCTGCACCTTTTATGATACGTTGCAGGAGGAGAAGAACTGTGCTGAGAGTGAGAAAAGCGTTCAGTGTTTTCCACCCGATGCTTTGATCAACAAGCTGGCCAACGAGTTGCCTGAAGGCGTCGATCCCTCCCAGAAAGAGGTGTGTGTGTTTTTGTTAGCAGGTGCATTAAGTGCTTACCACAGTGTGATGTAGGAAAAGTTCCTTCAGCCAGCCATCACGTGAGTGCACTCTTCCTCTGGAACAGTGAAGTCTTTTTACATACCTTCTATGTAATAAAACAACAGTCAAGGCAGCACTAATGGACAAAGACTAGACGTTAGAGGACAAGCTAGAAGAAAGAGAAGCTAGTATTGTTGTTTTATAGAGTGGGAGTTACCTCTCTGTTACTAGATACTGGTGCACAATCATCCAGAGTGGAAATTATTAATTTGGTAAAGCTTCATTTTACTACAATATTTTATATGGATACGTGGAGTTTCTTTAATGTCCCTGTTTTGTCATTGATTAAACCCTTAAAATCTCATTTCTGTGTAACAAATGACCCATTTAGAAGTTTCCCACGACTCTGTTCAAGTGCTGTAAAACTAATTCACACTACACAATGTCAAGTTGTAATATTAAAGTTATTCAGACACATTTTTGAACCGTAAACCGATTCTGAAGATGAATAATGATACAAAAACTCACTCTGCAAGCTGACAGGATCGATTACTTACCTTTGTCACATATGAAACCTTGAAAGTCTGAACCCTTGTTTTTGGGACTGTCATCATTACACTGCAGGATTAAGGTGGAAATGCTGAGTCGTGCTGTTGACTGCTTATTTCACTCACAGTATGACTTCTGCTATATAAAAAAAACACCATATGGGCAAGGTAATACAGTAAAAAACTACATTTTCACACAAGAACCTACATGCAAAGCTACATTTCTCATATATGTTGAACTTTTAAGATTTTATATTTCACTAAAAAAAAACCTTAATCATTAATTTCCACCCAAAGTCTTGACATACGAATCAATATGTTCTTTTTAAAAAAAAAAAAAACTCAGACAGTTAGTTCCAGCCTGTACGCTGTTCATTCATTACGTAAGGTGTTGTCCATGTGGTTGTGAGGCTTTACTATGTCGCTCAGCATACATTATCAGTAACACGCTGTGACCTTGCAGACCTTTTGTTTGCTTCACTATCTCAAACTAAATTTGTTTTTCAGAAATACCTCTCTGACTCCGACTTCAGCTGCGTCTTTGGGATCACCAAAGACGACTTTGTGAGCATGCCGCAGTGGAAGCAGCTGAACATGAAGAAAGAAAAAGGGATGTTTTGATAATATTACAAGCTACTACAAACTGCAGTACTCTCTTTGTCTCCTGCTTTTACTGATTTTCCACTCAGGGGCTCAGATTTGTCAGTACAGTAATTTCTAATGATGTTTTCTTCATGCTGTAGTTTCACTTTATCACTCTAAAATAATCTGTGAACACTTTATTTTTTTAATCTATGCTAATTTAATTCAACTGACACTGTTTAAATAAGAAGTCCTGTTATAGAATTATTTAAAAAACTGTAAACTATATTGCTTACTCTTCTGTGGAGGCGTTGGTGACCTTGTTTATGTCTGCTGAACTCTGTAGAAGGTTAAATATCTAAGCTTAGCTTTCTGACATTAAACCTATTAAACAGGAAGGTCCTGACGGAAGTTAATACACATCACTTTGCATGATTAAAACCAAAAGGCTTTTTTGGAATTGAAAACAGAAATAAAATAAATAAGTAAAATACATGTGTGTTATTGCACAGCAGCAAAAAATGTATGTAATTTTGTTACTTTAAGCTTACTCACAAACCAAATCTGAGGAAGGCCTGACATCCCTTTAAACACAGGTCTGCTTTGCCATCTGTTGGACAAATAATGCTACAACACGTCATATTCACTGAGCTAAGAGGGCAGAGTGCTGTTATAGTTTCATTGGACTTTTTTTTGTGAAGTATTTTGGTATTTTAAAGGATTTACAGAAGCAGAGTCAGTCAGCAAAGGGACATTTTCACTCTGTATTCATGCATTTTAGTTACAAGACCAAAATAAAAAAGGATGCTCAGCTAATCCTAATGCCTTTTGAACACAGACGTCAGCTAACCTGCTCGTTCCCTGATGTTTAGTTTCAAATGTCAAGCTACAATAAAGCTGCTTCTAAAGGTGTTTCTTTGATTTTTTAGAAGTTCTTCAATATTTCAACACAAATGACAATATCAGCATGATTCACTCATTTTATTTTGATATAAATGTATTTACTGTTACATCTGAACATGTAATTCAAAGCTCAGGACAAAATCTGAAATATTTAGACCCACAAAAGGCAACATATTATAGTAAGGACTTTTTTTTTTTTTGCATTGTCGTGTGAAAATGGAAACCAAAAACAAAAAAGATTGTTTGATAAACTGTCAGAAGGTCTGCTGACCAAGTCGAACAGTGTCTGTGACATTTAAAGGATACATTTTGATAGATTAAAAATTTAAACTGAGGACAAAATCAAGCAACTGAGCTATTTGACATGGATATGTTAAAGAACTGACCACAGTGCCACCACACACCACTGCAGTAACAGTAGCCTCCTGTAACATGTCACCTCTGACGTTTTGTGCATTTTGGCAGCCAGCAATACAGATTATCAAATATCAGCATGTGAACACACGTTGAAATGAAACAGAACAGTGTGGCAACAGTTACAAAGGCATATGAGTCAATGTACAAACAGTAGTATGCTGCATTAAACCAACAACAGGAGGTGGAGCTAAATGAAGCAACTACCCATTTTCAAGTTTCAACATATGAATGTCGTTCTGCTTTTTGTGATATATGATTTGCTAACAAAATTAAAACTGAAAACTCTGAAAAACATCAATTTTTGCAGATCAAAGTAGTATTTAATATGTGTGAAAGTACTGCGTGCAAAAGTACCAGTAATTGACACTGATTAATTTATGTGCAGTTTGGAAATCATATGCATCCATAGGTGCTCATGCAAACTATCACAATTGACATGAAAGGGTCTACTGCTGCCTCGAGCACTAACGGAAAAAAAGAAAAAACGAGACATTGTAAAAAATCAAAATACAAAAATGTGATTACATATAAAGTGTTTACAGCATTCAAAGACATCCGAAGAGACTAATTTCAGCAAGATCCACTGCAAATGTGCAAACATACAGTAATAGCATGCAGACGGACAGAATCCAGCCTGCAGCAGGTCAGCAGAGTGTTTTCTCGCTGACGTGTTTGGTTGTAAAGGGAATGTTGTTTCTAATGTAATCTGACAAACGTATGCCACAATACAAGAATATTAAAAAAGTGCAAATGCAGCCAAATCAACTTCCCTACATTTCCAGAGCAAAACAGAGAAAAGGGAATGTATAAAAGATATAAAATAAAGGCAGTAAATAGATGGCGTTTTCCCTTAATTAAAAAATTTCCCTACCAAACCCTTATAAACACCTGCCTTTGTTACCAAATACATAATGATAGCTTACAAAGATCGATGTCAAACGTGAAGTAAACCTGCTTTACAGTGAGTTCTACAGCAAGACCAAACCTCAGGACTCTCATGTAAGGTTATTTTTATAGAAATGAAACCGTCTTCATCCCATTTTGAAAAGAAACCTTGCTGTGTTTTCAGCGTGTAGCTATGATTGGAGCTAAAACAGCATCAGTGCCTGTCCAAATACCTACAGAGCTCACTGTGTTTTGTATACAGACTAATCCTGATTTGTGTCCCTGCAGCTGCTTGTGAAGAAAAAAAAGTGTTCTAAAAACATGACCAGTTAAGACAGATTTAAAAGAAATGATTGGCAAATAATATAAAAGTAGTCATTAGTGGAATTCCAGCTAGTAAACTATCTGGATCCTGAGTTTCTTTGTTGTGACTTTAAAATAAAAACATACATTTCTACTACTACTACTACTCCAACTAGACCTGTGACTAACAGAGTAAGATTAACCAACATTTCATTATAGATCAAGCTGATCATTTTCTGAATTAATCTGTAGCGATTTAGTAATAAAAAGTTAAAAAATTACCATCATAATCTCCCAAAAAGTGACATCAAACTGCTTGTTCTGTCCTACCAGCAGTCCAAATCCCAAATATTTTTCACTGACTGTCACTTAAGACAAAGAAAAGCACCAAATCTCCATGTTCGAGAAGTTAAACTAGCAAATGTTTGGCAATTTTGCTTGAAAAATGAATAAAACCATTAATAGATTACTGAAATAGTTGCAAATTAATCTTCTTTTGACTAACTAATCGGCTAATTCCTGCAGTTCTAATTACGACAACTCTGAATGTTGCTGTCAGAGTTTCCTAACAACTAAAACATCAAACTGCAAATTAAATAACTCTTGAATTTCACCAAATTATCTTTGATTTTTTTTGCCCAGTAGCAGAGAAAACAAAGTTAAGACAAAACACAGCCATCAGGGTTTTTGTGGTCTTGGTTCTCACCATCGTCAGTCGGATTTTTCTCTGTATCCTCTGAATCATGAGGCAGCTCTGGAAAGATCCTGTCCTGCTCCGGAGTCTCATCAGAAGCATCTTCGTAGGCACTTATGCTGTCGGAATCGTTCCTGTCCGGGGAGGGATCTCGTCCACCCTCGATGCCGTTTTCGCAAGGCCTCCGGAGGACACCGTCTTCGGAGACCAGGTTGTCCAGCGCAAGAGAAGGCAGGAGCGGCTTGTTCACCATCCTCCGCAGCTTCGTCATGACGCTTCCCTCACCCTCGTCCTCTGCAGCTGCCAGTCCTCCGTTACGCAGTGAGGAGTCCTTTTCTTCTCGGTGTGCAACTTTCATCGATTCCTTGGCCTCGTTTTGTATTTGGTGACCTCGTCTAGCTGCTTCATCCAATGCGTTCTCTGGAGCAGGTGGTTTATTATTCCTTTCCTGCAAAGAGAAAACAAGCTGTCCATCAGTAAATTCCTGACAGATCAAACAAAATAAAATAAGTTCATTCCATGCATTCTGCGTATTTGACAAGCTAAAAGTTACAGCAACTAGAATTACATTTATGATTACATCTCAGCAATAAAAACTATTTCACCAATTTGATCAAACTTGACATTTTCAGAGTCAGAAATCACCAGATTTGTTAAACTACAACTAGCTATGAGAGAACACAGGACAGCACTTCAATACCAATGAAAAGACACGTACCATCACCATTGTTTGCATTCAATAACAAAGGATCTCACTCCAAACTGTTGTGTAATGGTTCTCATTTGCGTTGATATCTTTATACAGAAATTCAGTGCCTCTATGATGTTACGTAAAGAATCTCCTCTCAGCTGCCACATTACCTCTTTTAATCTCTCCACCTCTTGCATCAGAGAGCAGACCATGCTCTCCAGTTTCCTCTTGGCCTCCCTCTCTCGTTCCAGCTCCTACAAATGCAGAGAGATGCCGGCATCACGAGGGGGATCAGCAGCTTGTTAGCATCACATTTTGTTGCAATTAGTAGCCAACAACTTCACAGTAGAAATGATGAGGACTAAAAGAGGATTCAAGTCTAGATGATTTCAAGGCTTAATTATGTTAAAGTTAAGCAGTGTTTCTGTTGTGGTGAAGCCTCCACGTACCAAACTAGCATGTCCAGCTTCCCTCTGGGCTTCAGCCAGCAGCTCCTCTACACCCTCCAGTGTGTCCTGCAGGACGTCCACCTGGAACAACAGAGCCTCTCGCTCGACCTCCAGCCCACGCAGCTCCTGCACCGCCTCGTCATAGCTGGCCTGCAGCTCCAGCTACACCGCAAGCACAGTTACAGATCAGTGTGGGCAACTTCAGAGGAATGCATGCCAGTCAGTGGGAGAGCAAGAGCTTAGCGAGCGCTCAGCAGCAACCATCTGTGGGAGGCCTCAAGTGGAAGCATGACAATCTCTCCATATGCACAGCAACGTTTTTCACTGCAGCGTTTTAATATTGGACCCGACAAAACTGTGCACAGGACTTGAAATAGCACTAACTGTCATTTTATTTATAATGACAAGAACAAGGAGAGTAGGAAAACAAGAATAGTAGTTATAAAAAAAAAAAAATAGTCACCATTTCTGGGAGCCCCATGAAGAGGTCCTGGTCAGACTGCTGTAAAAGAAAGACAAACTTAAAAATAAGTTCATTTATAAATAATACTGGAGTGGTTTTTAAATTATTCACATGAACCCAAGCTTGCTCTAAAAGGTCTATTGGATCCTGGCCACAAATGGTGGCCTTAGAAATGACTACAAAGTTGATTCACAAATGTAGTTGCTGTAAGCATCAGGCTGAACTGTACCACATCATATGACAAGTTGTTTCTGTTGTTTAGCCTCTACTCAAATATAAATAACAAACTACATCCTCCAAAGTCATCAAACACTTAAATCATCACTCTTTAAAACAGTTTCAACAAAAACTGAGCATTAAAATCTTATAATTGTTGTATTAATCATACTAGGTTGAGCGAACTGTACCCAATAAAATGAGAACTGAGTGTACCAGTACTATATATTACATTTTAAAATTACATTTTAAAATATTTGTCCTGGAGGATAAGTAGTGCTGAACCATTTTTGTTTCTGGATGTAATGCTGTGGTAGCCGTTTTTCCTTCAGTTATGTGCTTCTTACTTAAACTGATGACGCGACCAAAATCTCCCTGACAGCTGCACTAATCAGACAGTTTTATCTACAGATGTAAGAAAAACAGTAATAAAAAGTATGATAGCTAAACTCCATTTATCTGCTTCAGTTTCAAGGTCCTGGTATTGTGATTTGTTATGTAATTAGTATCACCAGTACTGTATAGTTGTATAGGTGCACCATAAAACGAGCTCATTAGTTCTCATTTTTCAGGATGAGACTGAAACGGGGTGGATCTGCAACTTCATACTTTTCACAGCAAACCTTTAAAACAGTCTTGCTGGTGCTCTCTGACCTGCTAAGGAATTACCGCTACGTTGCAACAACAAACATTTTAACACTTTATCACAAGTTTTATTTAGATTACAGGTGTAGCCAAAACAGTGACTGGCATTGACGCTATGCTACTTGACTCAGTATCAACCTTTGAAAGCAGAAGTCTCATAACTCTGCCTCCCATCACCAGGTTACCACTCGTCATGTCGCACTCATTAAATCAGAGATGTTGCTCTGGTTTTGACTACGGTCTGTCCATGTCAGTCTGCCTGAGTCTTTAAAAACAGGTCACATTTTGTAATTCAGGCTTTATTGAACTAATAACAAATGAAAGCTGTAACACAACTTTTACTCTGACTAATTATTTAATCATGATCTCAGAATTAATCAGTTTATACAAAGGGTGAGACCAAGGATTTTCCAATTAGATGACGCTATTTACTTATTTATTACTGTATTAAATGTTTTAAAACTGTGAACCTTTTTCATAGCGACTTGGTGCTTTAGGAAAAACCTCACTACCTACTACATAAGAATGGTAAAAGATATTTGCAGAGTCAGCACAGTTGCTCACAGGCTATGATGAGTCACTCAGGTTTATGTTCAACTGGCTTATTAAGAGTTATTTTTCATTCGACTAGTTGAATATCAACAGTTTTTACTTTAGTATTGGTGAATTAGTGCTTAGTGGGAAACTGAACAGATTAGCAGAGATAGCGTCTTTAAAGACAAGATAGTTGAATCCAAACAACATTTGGATTTTCTGTCTGTAGCTGTTATCGTCTTGTACACTGAGAAAGGACATTCAGTGAAGGACATCATGTACCAAGTAATTAAACTTTGGAAACAAAAAATATTAGTTACATTCACAGATTCTAAACTTTTCATTAAAGGAAGAGTGTCGAGTTTGAAGAATCTAAAACCAGGGAAATAACTTGCTTTTGTAGAAAAATAAACATACGAGAGACAAATTATTATTAGGAGTATTTTCTACATCGTTGATGACAGCTCAGACATCTGAAATGTGACGAGAGGCCACAACTAGACACTACACTGTAAAGCAGGATAAATCAGTGCACTTAGCAAATTGCAAAGGCTGCAGCTATTGAATTATGAATAATTCAACAAAACAAGTCTGAATTCTCTCATTCCACTTTCTTAAACCTGAACGTTTTCTGGTTTCTTTTCTCCTCTGTGACGGTAAACTGAATATCTTTGGGTTGTGGACAAAACAAGACATTTGAGGACATCATCTTAGGTTGGAAAACACAGCTTTCACCATACGTCACATTTTATGAGATTTTATAGACCAAACGACCAGCTGCTTGATTGAGCAAATAATTGAAATTGAAAACAGCCATTAGTTGCAGCCCTAGCTGTACTTCAATTTTACTTTAATTAGCAAGATTGAAACTTTCAGAGAGTGTTTATACTTGATGAGTGTACACGTTGTGGTTCAGACATGAGTACACTGGTTCGGCTGACAAATGCCCATTCTCATTATGTAATAGCGACACCTCGTACACAAGGATTTAAACCGTCATGTCAGTGGTTTTACATGTTTACGCCATCCTCCTGGTGTGACAGTCATGCTTTGGTGACTCACGTGATAATGGACGTTTTAATTCTATTGTACAGTAAATACTGAACTGAAACTTGTTCTTAAAAAAATAATTATAAATCAAGTTTCAATATCTGTCAGAAAAATTAGATATTTTCCACATATAGTTTAGACCTAGGCAAAAAAAAAAAAAAGAATCTGAAAAGTACACGTGGCTGTCACATAAATGCAGTGGAGTTAAAAGTACGAACACTGTGAATATACACTGAACAAAAATATAAACGCAGCATGTATTATTTTATTTCAATTCTACCCCTTCTTTTCAAAACTGGGGGAAACGTATTTGTTGTTCCAACACACAACTTGTCCACAACAGAAGAGATGTTATAAAACAACCAAGTGCAAACTTAATTAGAAATGATTATGAGCAGACTGAGAAAAGGATCACAGACAAGAAACCACAAGTTAGTAAGCAGTCACACATCTGTGAAGCATGCAGTTAAGGATGTTGTCAACGCTGGCTGGGAACGTTGTCTCGTGCCTTCTGATCATTGTCCTTTAAAGCCACACCTGAAGAGGGTGTGGATTATCTCAGAGGTTGACAATCTGTCACACACTTAACACAGCTCAAGAACATTTTGTGCACAACTGCCTGAACCGAACACTTTAACAAACAGAAAAATAGACATTTGATTTACACATGACACCCCCTCCCCCCACCGAAATGAAGATGATTTGAATGCTGCGTTAGTAGTTTGTCGTGTTATTGCGCTTGAGTGATAATGAGACATGACAGACAGGGCGGAGATGATCGGGACAGGCTGGATTACACGGTGTACAGGTGCGGCTCCTACCTGGCTGTCACTCCTCTTTTTCAGGGTGCCTGCTCGGCTGTCGCTTCGGTTCAGCCGCCTGGATGAGCTCTCAGTCTGACAGGGAGACGACAAGGAGACGTCTCATTTGAAATTAGCATCACAAACTGTCGTAACAAAACCACAAGAAGCTAACTTAGCTCATATTAAGGAAGTGGACAGAAGCTTCGGGCCTCATAAAGATAAATCTGCTTATTCAGCGGTTGTTCAGTGGTGAACAGTTAGCATAATATATATGTAAAAACACCAACTATATTATGCTAAACTGTAAGGAAATGTTAGCTTTAGCTCTTTGGTTAATGACGCCGTGATTTTCCTCTCTTACCTCCTTTATGATGCTGCGGAGAGACTCATCCTCGCTGAGTCCCCGAGAAAACGTCCGTTTCTTTGGCGAACCGCTGCTGTCCAGGTTGACTGAATGCATTTTTTTTCTGGTTTATATTGAGTTTTAGTTTACGTAAGAGACACCTCCAGACTCTCTGGCTGAAGTGGTGTTTGGTTTGTTTCCTACGCAGCAGCAGGGAGCGACGCCCAGGCCGTGATCTACGGAGAGCCGCAGGGACCAAACCGTCCTAACACCGCCCTCGGTCCGCCCACTCTCCTCACACAGCTCTGGAGTAGTTGGTTGGCAGGAGACACCAGTCATGTTTGAAGCTGTGAGGAGGTAAAATAATAATAATAATAACAACAATAAGAATAATAAATTAGTTTCTGTTTGTTTTACAGTGAAGATTAACACTATGGCGCATGTCAAGTGCTAGGTGCTGAAATTAGTCAATGATTTAAAAAAAAAAAAAAACCTTCAAGGTGAGTGGATGGGCAAGGACTATTTTCTGGAAACTTGAAGTACATGACAGTAGATGTTTAGGTGGGGAAACTCCTACTACACTCACTAAATCTTCAGTCTCATATATACTAGCATATATGGCTTAAAGTTTTTAGAAAAAAAATTGAAGTCTTCTTGAAAGGTCCAATCTTTAAACACAATAACAAAACAATTAATAATAATGCAGAACCACATGTAGCTGCATGTCACAATGATACAAAACAAAACATACAGAATCCCTCTAATATTAAATACTTGGGTCCCAAAAATGATGAGTAAAAAAAGCTGTTTTTGTTGAACTTTCTTTACTGGTTTTGCAAGTATGACAGACTACTAAAAAAAATAAAAAAAATAACTAAAATATTGGTAGATAACCAAACCAAGTAGAAGAGACTTCTGGAGTTCCAAAATGGTTCAGAAACTCATTCAGAAAATATCACTAGTTGTCAGTTGTCAATTTGTTGGCATTGTGTGCATAAGGATGGACCTTTTCTTTTTTTCATATTTCAGCTCATAATCTGAAACTATTTGATCTACTTGAATATTGCAGATTCTGAATCAGTGACATGATGAGAAATAACAGTGGAGATTTCAGGCCTTTATCATCTGAGATATTGTGTTTCTAAAATAGCCTCAAATTTCTGCTGAAAGTTGGTTGGCGGGCAGGTTTTAAAAATGAAATCAAATTCTGAAAGTATTTGATTCTTTAAGCTAACTTTTCAGAGATACTATTTCAAATGTCCATAGTTTACGAATAGAAAAAGTTTCATGCAGATCAAAGTTGAGCAGCAGGTCAGTGATGATTTGAGATGAAGGCCCTTTTGACCACCGTGGACTTCACCTTCAACATCTGTTCCAGTTGTTTCTTCAGCTTCCGTTGCTTTTTCATTTTCTCATCTTCTCGTCCCTATGTTACTGTCAGTTGCCACATCAACCACAACTGTCCTCTTATGCTTAGTATCAACCACCACTGTGTCAGGTTGGTTAGCCAGCAGCTGCTTTTAGTCTGCAACTTGAAGTCTGACAGGATCTTAGCTCCGTTGCTCTCCACCACTTTCAGTAGGGAGTGCCTTTGCAACTTGGGGACTTCTAATCCATACTCAGCACTGATGCCTCTCATTGTATGCCACCCCAGCTTGTATCTCACAACCTGCTACTACGTACTGGACTGTCTCCTTGGTTTCATGTCTGTCCAGCCTGAACCTTTAGTCTTGTCAGCTGTGGTAGACTCCTGCGTCTGTTGTTCTGGTGCTTAGAGCCTGTTTTTGTTTCTGTCAAAGCCTCTGTGCCGTCCTTCACTGGTGATGTGATGTTGGAAACATAAGCAGATACAAAATATACAGACCGGGATGTTTTTCTGTCTGTAGCTACTGTGGAGAAAGTTGAAGAAAAAGACACACACACGAATGCGCTGAGCATCAGTTTTTGAACGCATCTTTAATTTCAGTGTCAACATGTACGATGCAAAACTACTGAACTTGTTGTGTATGTTAGTGCCAGCTGGCCCACAATGTAAATGATCTTTACCACTTGCAGGGACTTCGGTAAACACCACATCCTTTTTCTTCACACAGAGCAAAACGAGGTCAGATTATACAGAGATAAATTCACTTCTTTGCTCCTTAACAGTCATGGATCTCTTTTATCAACTAGGCTGTCAGTTTTTTGGCTTTTTCTAATTTGTTCACTAAAAAAAAACAAAAAAAAAAAACATTACTTTTGTCAAAATTTTACGACCACTGATTCCCTTATCACTCTATGCGGCGGACAAAATGCACGCACATCCAGGCCTAAAGAGTCAGGCGCAAAAAAAGAAAAGAAAAAAAAACTCAGTTATTTCGAAGTTGAACAGTAGGGGATGTCCTCTTATAATCAGTCAAAAATAAATACTTTAGAGAGACAGTAAAAACTTCAGACCCTAAACTAGAAACTCATGAGTGAATACACCTATGGTCCCTGACACACAAGTTACAAAACCTTTGATTGCTGAAACAAAATTGTACATACATGTAATTTCCAAGTTGCCTAATTGCATCAACATCATAAAGTGAGCTGTGAACATCTGACCTTTCTTCATTTTTGGACTGTGTCTATCTGCATGTCTGTATCACAGTTCCACATGGAAAAGAATCACAAGAGGAATCAAAAAATCAGATTGTGAAACTTCCCAAAGATAGAAATGATTCCAGGAAGATCAGTGGCTAACTAGAAATCAGTGGAAACACAGTTACAGCAGTAATCAGGAGAACAAGCTGTAGTACCACTAATCAGAGCTGCAATGGTCATCCACCTAAATGATGTTGTTGACAGTGCACCACTTGCAAAATCTGACTCTGAAAAACAACAGATTTTGTGTAATCAGAGTTTTTGTGACAGCTCAGACAGTAGCACTGTGTGATATTAAGTACTTTGGATGGTAACAAAGAAAGAAAAAGGTGAAAATTACGACCTGGACTAGTATGTCGCCTGACTTCAAAAAGAAATATAAACAAAACCACTCCAGCAAAGAGCTCCTGAAAACATTGTATCTGAGAAATGGCAGAACATCTCTCCAGATATTTGTACAACACTGTCTGTCATTAAAAATAAATGAGGTCATACAATTACAAATCCCAGTAATGAAAGATGTATGGACTTCAGTTGCATTGACTTCCTCCTGTGGGCCCTGTATTGTTTAATTTAGTAAATCTAAACTAGTTTAAATGTGCCACTTTACATCTCTGTCTTTGTTCCACAGCATCTTCATCACACCTCAACGAAGCGAACTGCTGAAGCACTGATCCTGCCATCTATTAGCTGCCAGAGCATCAGAAGTTTGATTTTTATAGATCCTCCTGAGGCCTTCATCTCTGACAGCTGATGGAGCTTCATTTGTGTGAAGAAGTTTCTTGGTGCTCCAAACTAAAAGACTGGTGAGTATTTAACCACATCTACATCTACAGATGGGATGCAGCTCCGTCCTGCAAATGGATCTACACACTGCAGGTTCATTCCTAACAAACTAGACTCCTCAAGATTTGTACAGATCCAGAGTAAGAGATATATTTAACAATAGTATTTGCATCCCTGCTGAAAGAAATACTGTGATATTCCACACTGATCATCATGATACAGTCTGATATCTTGATTTAGGGTGTGTAAATCTGTAATTCCATGTAAATAACAGTTTATTGGCTCAGCAGACGCATCTTTTAAAGCTTTACTAACATTTCCTTGTATCTGCTGTGATAAACTGAGTAGAGAGAGACTGACCTGTGTGACATATTTCCCGAGCTCTCATCTAAACAATTGTTTTTGTCAGTGTGTGGCATTTAAGTGGTTGGTGATGCCTACTGTAAGCAGCCTGCAGGAATAATGGCTACCCTGCAAAAATGGTTCATTCTTGTTTGTGGTATGTAATTTTTATTCCAAAAAAGCCTGACCCCATTATTTCCTCCCCTTGTTGCAACGACCAGTCAAATTTTTACTGGTTTGCTGAAACCAAGTCTGTCTCCTGTAACACATGTACAAGATATTCATATTTCCTCATGGAGAGTTTTTTCAGCCTTCTGAAAGGGTACTTCAGTGTAGTTTCAGTGTTTGTGTGTGTGTGTGTGTGTGTGTGTGTGTGTGTGTGTGTGTGTGTGTGTGTGTGTGTTGCATAAGGTTGTTAGTGAAAAAAAGGTTTGAAACTTGTCATTGATTCACGTTCTGTATACATTAACATGTATTTTTGCTCAGATGAAAGCATTGAACAAAGTGCCTTCATTACTTACTAGTTTATGGTTTTGACTTAATTCAGTGGGAAAGAGGCTGACAATTGATGACTTTTTTAGCAACGGGGAAGGAAAAAAGGGAAATTTGTGAAAACGGTATCAAGTGTCACTTATAATGTCTGGGAAGCTCCACCCGAATACATTAAAGGGGAACTTTGATGCTTTAGCATTGTTCAAGGCCAACAGACCTGCAAGACAGATTTATTTAGCAGATTGTGAAATACGTTCTTCTTTGTCTCTATATGGTTCAAGCTCCAAAAACATAAAAATCTTCTCAGATTTGACAAAGCTTCTGTTTGCATCCCATCTCTTTTGACAAGTAAATTGACTTTAAGAATTAATGTGTCGCTTTAACAGATGAGCGAGGGGAATTAGTTTCAGCTTCAATAACATATATTCCTCAATTACTTGATTTAATTGGTATTTAGTGCAAATTAGTCAGACTTTTAGAAAAAAAAAAGAGATTTAAGATGGTCAAATGACTGAACAGTAGAAAACTAAAGACCTCAGTGTGCCTGGTTTACAGTAAAAACTCCACATCTGACAACAACAAGCAGAGAAGATTGACATTGACAAGATCTGCTCTGCTGCAGCTCAGTTTTTCTCCAGCAGGTGACACCAGTGGGTCAGTGATACCACAAAGAAAACTCACTTATATTTAAGAAGTGCAATTATGTCAAATCAGAAAAACTTCAATAATCCCTGCAGGGTAATTGCTTAATTAGAAAAACGAACAGGAGCAACTGCAGCAGACTGCACACACCATTGAGGCATGTGCACAATACCATAACTACTAATAATAACATTACAGATAGTCTTAAAATAATAATATTATTATATATTAATAATGGCAAAACGTTTATTAAAACCAGTCAGTGATGTATAGCCACACATGACTACACTATTTGTCTATGGTTCTTGAGCTACATTTAGATTAGATCCTATTTTATTAGCATATTGTGGCATGAAATATGATATAGGATGTAAATTACAGTCTATAATAATCCAGTAAATGACAATATTTAGGTCTTGCTTCACATTTGCATGACATTTGTTCTGATTGGTGCAAATTGCCTTTTAAAAGGGTCTATATACATTATTAGGTCTATAAATTATAATAGAGAGCAAACAGACCTGCTGCTACTGCTGCATGGCTGAAAAATCTCTTAATAACAGGCTTAGCATATTTCTCATGTTTTCATCATAGTGTTGATGCCTTTTTAAATCCACTCTTGTGTATTGAGAGCTCCCAGATTTGAACAAAAAGGCCAGTAATTACTTTCTGATTGGTCTTTACGCGCAGTTTGGAGAGCCTTGCGCTGGACAAGCTTGTGTTACTTCTGAATATTCTGCATATAACCGTGTGGACAGAGCACATAATAATGCGTCAAAATGCACCATAAGTGTTTACATGTGTGTGATTTAGGAGAGGATGTGGTGAATTCGGGGGGTAAAGCTTTTTTTTCCCCCCCTTTGGGATATGCACCATTAAAATAACATTTCTAACAACAGGCGCAGTGAGCCATAGTTTGCCATCATCATAATAACCTAATTGGTCCATATCTCTAATGTGAGACATTGTTTGTGCACTGTAAAAACATTTACTCTCATAACAGTGCGTGCTCCCTCCCTTCGCTCTGTCCCTCTTGACTTGGTGACAGACCTAAAAGCCTTTTGTTGCAATCTTAGCCAATGGAGACGGATTACGACACCGGGCAGCTGAGATATATAAAGAGCCCCTTTTTGACCGCACTTGCACATTTTTCAGTGACACATCTGAACATACACACACCTCCATGGACTAAATTGTACAGAAGACCCCAAAACAACCATTATACTACACGTGAGCGGGCTATGCATTCATCAGGCAGATAATCTGTTCACTTTCAGTCAAAGCCGCCTAAATCGAGACACACTGGAACGCACTTTTTTTGAAAACTTATTGCAAAGGCGCTGCTGCTCCTGCAAAACAAAAAAACAAAAAAAACGCAACTTCGGGTGATCGTATTGGATTAGATGCATGTCAGTGATTCCCTGCCTTTTGTAGGCTGAGGCAAGGAGCGGCGCAGATCCAGAGAAGGGATATAACGGGATAAAAGCACGGAAAAAGACAAGAAAAGAAAGAAAACAAAGTTGCATTTCCTGGTGTCCGCGCATCGTCATGCCGAGGTACAACTTCTTACTGTGCTTGATGGTGCTCGTCTCCCTGGGACGGTCGGGGAGCGACGAGCCCAATCTGCTGCTGCCTCCTGCCAGCGAGACGCCCACGGATGCCGGGCTGTCTTTACTGGACGAGGACGCCGGTTCCCACGAGTGCTCCGCCTGCGTTTGGAGGGAGCAGAGCAAAGTGCTGAGACTGGAGACTATCAAGTCCCAGATCCTGAGCAAGCTGCGCCTCAAGCAGGCGCCCAACATCAGCCGGGAGGTGGTGAATCAGCTGCTGCCCAAGGCGCCGCCGCTCCAGCAGCTCCTGGACCATCACGACTTCCAGGGAGACGCGTCGTCCCAGGATGAGTTTATGGAGGAGGACGAGTACCACGCCACCACGGAGTCAGTGATCACTATGGCCTCCGAGCGTGAGTAATAGTTTACAACCCAACAACGATATTGTCTCCAAATGCGTCATGCGCGTAATTGCGGAGCAGATAGGTTCAAGTGGCTCAGGCCTGCTGCGCGGACAGTGGAGCCTCTGGGTGCTCGTTCAAGTCAGCCACATAACCTACTTTTTTTTTTGTTGTTGCTGCTGAGATTTTGTTGGGGGTTCATCTCTGTGTGTCTGACTGATAACATTAGACTCTGCTCAGCTGTTGCCCACGGCTGTCAAAATAGGGATTATGTGCGAAGCTGATAAATCAATAATCAGCAGCATAAAGAGCCTCGTCACTCTGAAACAGACAGCTCCAATATGGCCTGATGAACTTTTGTTTTCATGGTGGTGATGGAGCTAAGTGTTTAGCTCCTCAGTCCAACTCCAGCTGTCATGTGCCCCCCCCTCCCCAAAAAAACCCCCACCAATAAACAACTTTCCATTTTTCACATGTTTGACTGGGAGTAAAGGCATGGCACGGCCGTTTGAATGTCAAGTGCATTATTGATGATAATGCAGCATTTGGCTGGCAGTGGCATCACTTTATCCTTTATGTCTTCTTTTGCATTCAATCCTGGAGTTATGATCACGTCGTGAGGCCCTCCTCCTCCTCTTTCTGACAATTTGCTCGCCCTCTCATAGTTTCCTATAAATCCACAGATAAACCGCAGGCAGGCCCCTTGGAGACATTTTATAAAATTACTGTTGAACCCTGGCAGCTGTGCTCTATCGGTCTTTTATAGGAGGCTCTACCGGTTTCCCTGCTGTTCATCGCAGTGAGAAAAAGTGTGTCCAAAAAGCTGCTATTGTTCCCCTCATGCAGCGGCCCCCCTCGGCTGCACTTGCCTTTTAAATGCGAAGTTTATAGGCGCAGCTCGTTTTTTTTTCACCACGAGTACACAAAGACAGAGAATCACTTCGGGTCGAGGGGAGTGTGTGACCTTTTCCTGGCGAATCGCGGGGTTCAACAACATTTACACACGTAATATATTCTGCACAAGGTGGACCGAACACACTCCAAATAATCAGTTTTTTTTCCTCTCTGCTCCATGACTGAACAAAGGCAGGCCTGTCTATTTATCTCCATCTATCTATGCGTGCTGTTGGATAGTGTTTGACTTGGTGCAGGTGAATTGTAATGTTTCATGTATTTCTTTTTTGTTTTTTTTTTTAGTAACACTGCCACTTTTCCTTGGCCACCTGCCCTGACAGGCCCACCTGTCTCTATCATTAAACCACACAAAGGGGAAAAAAAAAAAAAAAAAACATCAACTGACATGTGAACTAGTTAAATATCATCTGAACATCTTTCCTTTTCCAACTCTCGTGTGCCTGGCCTATAATTACTTTTCAGTTATCACATCGTTCATCATTTCTGTGAACCTCGGGCATGTCTTTAAATCTTTAAAATTGAGGATTGCTGTCGCTCTGGACCCATGTGAGTGATGCAGCTCCTCCTTCAGGGCATTGGTGTGCAAGCTTAAACCCTCAATATTACAGGTTGATGATGGAGGATTTGATTTATCAGAGTTTAAACGGTTCACTTCATGTGGCGGTTAGTTTTCAGGGCATGAAATAATAAGCATGCTTGAAGTGTTCTATCTCTGTTTCTCTCTTATTACTTGCTCTCACACACATAAATTGGATGCATGTGATAGATGCTGACAATGAAGATTCTCTGTAGTAACTTGCACGTTGAAGAAAATCCCACATTTGATTCTTCCGGCTCCATAAATACTGAGGATGAAACTTCTAACACACTCGCTGTACACTACAGGAAAACAAAAGCTTCAGAACATATTTGTAACCCTCCGCACAACCACACACAAACACATTCTCTCTCTCTCACACGTACAGTGCAAAGGGATTTGATACCTTGTCAAGCCAGAAAAAAAAGGCATTGACGCCGGCTAATTGTACATTTCTGACGGCCCCATGCCAGCCAGAGGAGCTAATAACTGACATTACTGCTGAATCTGTCATGCTACAGCACTTCCTCTCTCTTCTGTTTGCCTCATCTCTTTATGTCAGCTGCAGTTTTTATCATCTCCCCCTCCTCTTCTTCCCCGTTAGCCCCCTCTCTTCTTCTTCTTCTTCTTCCTCTTCTTCTTCTTCTTCTTCTTTTTTTTTTTTTACTCATGGAAGAGTTGAGAGAATGAGTGCATCTCTTTTGCCTGTGGCGCCATAGTGATCCCACAGGATTAAAAGTGCCTTTTTCTGTCTCTCTGATAGAAGGAAGGACTTCAAACACTATTCCCTGCGCACCTCGAACCCAATCACCCTTTCATGGTCGTGCACACTGCCTTTGATGGGCCATGGGGGTTCACACAGTACATACTGAACTGGACCTGTGCCAGAGTTGCTTCTTAGTATTCACTCAAGGTACGTGGGTGCCGCAGTGGGGGTTGAGAGGGTCCATGCTTCCTGGTCTCTAATTACTATGAAATTTCATGGAAAAGTACATCTATTTATATCATAGTGCGGCACTTTATGTACTAAAACATCTCCCTCTATACAGTGTGTTGTGTAGGTAACTGCTCTGCTCGTTGCCTATGCATTAAAAGTGACTCAGTTTTGAGCAGTTCATCTGGGTCATTTTACAGTGAGAATTTTTTTTTTTTTTTTCACGAACAAATACATTTGCATCAACACATCACGCAAAGCTGCGATACATTGATCTATGTGTGCAATTGTGCGCATGTGAAGTGTGTATTTTGGAGCAGGGTTTGTTTTGCCTGAGGTGGGGTGAGGATTTGACCCCACTAGTCTCCCATTTGTCACCTGTCCACAACATATAGAGCAGACCTTCCTCTGCCACCGCTGACCTCCTTCATTTCGTCTGTCTCTGTATGTTTTGACGCTGGCTAACACACACGCTATGCAACGTCTAGAAAATACCCATAAAGATCAGAAGTAGGTAGGAGGGTGAGTGGCACCTCTGTCGACTACAGTTATTGCTTTTTGTGGTTAGATCATCATTCTGTGGAGTATCGGTGGTCTTTTTTATGCTTTGAGTAAATTTATTTTCAGTGCTGTGACTGTAATTTTGTCCAGTGTTGAAGCATCCAGCAGAGAGCCACACTCTCCGTGTTTATTCCAGCAAACAGAGATGTCAGTGAGGCCAAAATGTGGGAAATCAGAGGCTGCTTGTAAAAAAAAAACAAAAAAACTCCAAAACAACCCTCAATACTGAGGTTTAGACACAGGCTAAAGAAAATCTCCTTTGAAACACCTCTAAACAGCACTCTTGCCTCTCAGCCTTGTCACTTTTAAATTACTTTCTACCCTCATTTTGTTCCGTGCATCATGATTATGTGTCGGCCAACATTAGGAAGCACTCCGCTGGCGTTATTATGTAATCCTGTTAAGATGAGGCACATTCGGCATGAGCACAGGCTTACACAACTCTCCGGTACAGAGAAACATCTACACACACATGTAAAGGTATGAGTGTGCAAATTTCCCCCCGTGTGCACACTTGTGTGGACACATAGAGGATGCTCACATGCACCTACTCACACAGTCACACACACACTCCAGAGAAAAGTTCTCCTATTGACAAAAAGGGTCACAGAGTTCACAGCTTTGTGATATATTGGAAGAGGAGACTATTAACCTCATCAGGTCTCTTTCTTTGGCAGCAATGACGAACCGGTAGTAACTTGAACACTTATCCCCCCACCACGCTCAGGCACAAACACACACACGCACACACACATACACACACACACACACACACACACACACTCATCCACCAACCACTCCCACAAAAAAACAAGTCTTTTATAGTGTTGACCCTATAAAAGGGTCATTTCCTGAAGGTGCAGGAACCATAAAAATTAAGAGGGAGAGCGCTAAAAGGACAGAGCAGCAGAAGTCAGACTGTCTTCAACTCACCGGTCAGTGTTTGCTGGAAGTTGATGACTATGTGAGGTTTTTATAGATTTATTTATTCCATGGAGGTCTCAGTTTGACGATGACACCTGTTCTCCTTGTGTAGTTGCTGGCATCAGCTTAGGGAAAGATAAACTTTGGTGTTGAATTGTTTGGACGCAGGGGCATGACCGGTTTGTTTAAAAAGAAGTAAAAACTTAAGAAAGGTCTGTAGGACTGTAGAAATTGCACAACATACTGTCAACTTTATGGCTAATAAAATTTCAAAGGGACCAAAGTCTATTAATACAAGGACAAAATTTCCCCAGGACCTCAGGAATCTCACTCCTTCCACCCTCCTTCCTCTATTCCCACGCTCCCATGTACCAGTCCCTGGAGCCGGCCTTTTCTCTTGGCATTTGGGAATATGCTGCTGTAGAATTTGATGCGCGCTTTATCGAAAATACAACAAGACGTTGCAGAGAATAGATAAAAGGACCGCAATAATCTAAGTTTGGCCGTGCAAGAATATTTTTTGCACCCTGCTTTTTCTGCTGGTATCGCTGCCGAGCTCCTCGTTGCTTCTTTAAAGGATTTCAAAGATCGAGTTAGGTGCACCGCAGCTCATGCAGCGGGTATGAAGGGGAGTGGAGGGAAGAAGGGTAGTGAGTCCACAGGGAGCAACAAGCAGCCCAGTTCTATCCTAAAGGGACAGAAATAATGGAAGGGTTTTATAGGTACAATTAAAAAGACCTGAAACAGATGTTAGGTTTCGCTAATAAAGGAAATAATTACTTCACACCAGTAATTAAGCCCTATGTAGGGACATGAGTGAGGAGGAGGAGAGGGAGGAGGAGGAGGGGAGTGAAAAGATAAAATGGAGATCATTGAGGGGATTATTGTTGATGGATGCGTTCAGGCTCTGTGTGGTCGTGTGTGAGGAGGTGCTGAGGATCAGTTTATGGAAGAGTCCATTAAATCTAAGAGGCGTTTAAGCAAACGAAATGCTGCATGGACATAATGTTGGATCCCATGAGGGAGCCACTGTGTCGGAGAGAAGCACAATTAACAGTGGATTACCTCATGATTATCTACATGAAAATTTAATTAGCCTCT